TGAAATATACATTTTATGGTTCTTAGAATTAATTTTTTGTCGGATAAATTAACTACAACACGTGTAACTAATGTACATATTACTAAATCGATCTCTTGAATCTTACATTATAAATACATATATAACAATAATAAATACGTATGTTCCTATCTGAATTCTACTTATTAATAATTACACCAATCAAATATTTGAAATGTAGATTCTTAAATATATGAAGTGTGAGTGTTAAGAGGGTTTTTTTAAACTCTGATATAATAAGCTATTAGAAAAGGGCTTATAAAATTGCAATTTAATGCATTCCATTTGCTGGTAGCATTAGTTGTTTTTTTTTAGCATAGAAAAATAATCTGAAACTGTTAACGTTTCGATTTCAATCAAATTTCCAGTAGAAAGGTTGAGGCCATGAAATATCAATTTTATGGTTTACCGGACTAATTGGCAAAAAGGTCCAATAAAAAATTGTTTTTAAAAATTTTTCCTAATAGTAATTTCTATATCCTTCAGGGTATTATAATATTAGTCAGATGCTTGTAAAGGAATCATTTCCGACCCTATAAATCCTATAAAATATTGATCAGCATGAACAGCTTAATTGATCTACACATCTCCGGCAGAAAAATAAATTTTTGAAATTTTTTCGAAATTTGACAATTTTACAAGGGGTTACATCGTTAAAATTTTCAAAATTTGACAAAAAATTGAATTTACTAAATTTAAAAAACTAGTATGCAGATTTGTTAAACTAATAAAAACTAACATAGGAGTGGTTTTTGAATTAAAATTAATGCGTTTTTGGCTTAGTTATAAGATTTTTAGGCATTGATTTTTAAAAAAACTTGTCATATGAAAATATTAATAATATCGACTCAAAAAATGATATTAAAATATTAGTCAGAAGCTTCTATACTGTGATAGAAACATTTCCGACCCTTTAAATCATATACATTCTTGATCAGCATCAGGGGAATCGATCTAGACATTTCCGGCTGGAAAATGTATTTTTAAATTTTTTTCAAAATTTCATAAGGGGTTACATCGTTAAAATTGTCAAAAATTGAAAAAATGCTAATTTTATTAAAGTTAAAATTGAGTAAGCAGATTTATTAAACTACTGAAAACTAACATAGGAGTGGTTTCTGAGTTCAAATTAATCCCTTTTTGGCTTAGTTTTGAGTTTTTTAAACTTTGATTTAACAAAAACATAGCCAAAAAAAACTATAAGATTTTATTCATTAAAAAGTATTTCGTACTTAAACCAAACTAAAATCATTTCTAAATTCAAAACAATTTCGTTAAAAGACTAACAAATACTTTTAAGTACAATATGTTTATTTCTGCTTGAGATTAAGAAAGTTTATAATGTTTTGAGGGGTCCGCTGCACAAAGGTCGACTAACTTTTGTTGGTTTAATTTTAGGTATTTCGTTTTGTAGTTACATATTTACTTTTTGGGCTTTCTTTGGCTGTCTGCTTGAAATTGCCTGTCTCTAAGTTGGGACGTCGCCTTCCGTTCGGGGGTTTCTTCCCGCATACACACACGTATTTATTTTAGTAGTTATTTCCCTTCTGAAGTCTCAGAGGTCTGCCGAAACCCCACGGGTTTCCCCTCGCCGGGATTGTGTTTTTGTATGGACATAAGGTTGAGGTCGGCCGCAACATCCGTTCTGCGAGTGCTTTCAAATGTAAACGAAAAGTATGCAAAACAATGCAGCCGCACAGATACAGATACGGATACAGCAACAGCTACAGATACAGATACAGATACTTTGGACGCACACACTCTATCCCTCGCTGGTTTGTTTGTTGCCAAATGGTGAACCCCCCTTTTGACCTCCCCCTCCCTGGTCACGTCCTTGCCCCGCGGACTTCCTCCCTGAAAAAGCCTCTACTATTTCTCCAGATCTTTCTGGGTATATGTACATATGTACCTTTTCCCGCTGCTTTTCTGGACTAAATTTAAACATTTCGCCATTCAACAGATTTTAGCGGCGCCCTCGTTAATTGTTGATGCCGCTCGCTGATACTTCTGTTGTAAAACAGAAGCCGAAAATAAACATTTGAATGAAAATGAAAAATTTGTCTAATTTTTTGTTGTTGTTCATTTGCTCCATGGATTTGGCAATTCCAGAGTTACATCTACGTCACACTACCGGGAATAGCTCGGGAAGATCAGAGGAGAGCACTCCCTGTGTGTGCCCTGTTTTTCACACCCATTTGATGGACTTTTGAGAACTTTAGGGGGGAACTCTGGAATTCTGGATCATCGGGAAGGCCTTTGTTCTATTGCAAATTCAATTTGACTTCGAATTCTCTCCCCCACTAATCATCAGTTCAATTATATTCAATGAGTTTCCCAAGCAGGCAGGAAATTGAAGAAAATTGGACCAAGAAAACAAGAAAATATAGCTCAGAAAGCCTAGAGTAAGTGAGGTCAAAGTGCCTAACAGGAAAAAGAGTGGTAATAAATTGATCAAATATATATTGAAAATATTCCAGACATTTGACAATATTTACTTATTTCATTTGTTTATATATAAAGTAAACTAAGGTACGTGCTTGTTTACAACTTTTTCGCCGTAAGTGGAGACCCTTTGGGGGGCCACAATTCCACTGAATTGGCGCTTAGTCAAAAATTCCCTGTAGATTTTTGCAAAGACCAACAAAATCTCGTGTACTTCACACAAGTACTTACTTCGAATTTGTACTCACACATGATCTTGATCTACTCCCTCTCAGAGCCCTGGCCTTTGGTATTGTGCGCCCCTTCCCAGGTTTTCGCCATTAAAAGTTCCTACCCAAAAATAACGCCAACAATTGCCGGCCATTCGCAGGCCTTCCATTTTAGCCACAGCCAATGAGTAAAAGAAACATCAACAATATTATTATTTTTTTTGTTTTGAATATGGAGGAAATTGTTTATGCCTCGCACTTTTTACGATTCCGCTTGGGCGCTTCAGTGGCTGCTGCCCCCATGTTCGAGTCAATAAAAATCAATTTGATGATCTTTCCAGCTAGCTGCAGTTTGCAGTAAATACTCCAGAAAGCGGAAACCTATATAGTGCTACCTAACATATAGTTTTCCAGAAGTTTTCAGTCAAAACTGTTGACTAAGAGTGCACTAAGTCAAGGGCTTTCAACTTCAAAAGGAAAACTTGTGGTGGTATTAAAGAACATTTTGTACAAGTATTCTTAGTTCTCACATTATTTGAATAAATATTTAGAAAGATTTTTGTATGACTATTTTTTCGACAAATCAAAATTTAAAAATCTCATAACTAAGCCAAAAAAGCATTAATTTCAATTCAGAAACCGTTCCAATGTTTGTTTTTATTAGGTTAATAAATGTGCATACTCAAATTAAGATTTAAAAAATTCAATTTTTGTTCCTTTTTTTACATTTTTAACGATGTAACCCCTTATAAAACTTTGAAAATTTGGAAATTTATTTTTCTGCCGGAGATGTCTAGATCGATTTCGCTATTGATGCTGATCAAGAATATATATGATTTATGGGGTCGGAAATGCCTCCTTCTCAGGGTTTCGAGCTTCTGACTAATATTAAAATACCATTTTTGAGTCGATATTATCAATATTTTTATATGAAATTTTTTGTCTAAAAATCAATGCTTAAAAATCTCATAACTAAGCCAAAAAAGCATTAATTTCAATTCAGAAACCGTTCCAATGTTTGTTTTTATTAGGTTAATAAATCTGCATACTTAATTTAAGATTTTAAAGTTGTCAAATTTTTGCCTTATAAAATTTTGAAAATTGAGAAAAAATTGCATTTTGGTCGGACATGGATAGATCGATTCGGCTGTTGATGCTGATCAAGAATATATATGATTTATGGGGTCGGAAATGACTCCTTCACAGTTTTAAAAGCTTCGAACTAAAAATATAATACCCTTCAAGAGTATAAAAACCGAAACAGGAAACTAAATAATTCTCCAGTTCACTTACAAATAGTAAACATTATAGTTCCCCTAAAGACGACCGCCTTCTTGGGAAAATAAACTGCATTTCCCAGTTTACAGAACATCCCATAAAGATTTAAAAGGATGCCAGGACCCCGGCTTAAGTGCTACGATGGTTTATGGCCCCAAAGGCTTCGGATTACACAATATTCAGGCACTTGGCCTCGTAAATCCCCCGGGATCTGGGTTTGCCTCTTGACTGCGCCAAAGTGGCATTTGATTTATTTAGCATATTTATTTGTTTATTTTTTGCCTTTTTCACTCATTTTTCCCCTTTTTATTTTACAACAAAATGGATAACATTGTTTATGACCGCCGCGCGGAGACTGTGCGCCGGCGCAGCCGTGCAAAGGCGGGACTCTTTGAATATTTATGGCACGTCGTCTAACTGGGGGGCAGGATAGATGGATAGTTCGGAGCGGAGCTCATTTTATGCCGGGCACGTGGTGGGCGGCGATGCGATCGTCCAGTGAGATTACCCGATGGCTTAATTAAACCAGACTCGAAGTCGAGCAGCGGCATGCGGAACTGCTGGGAGCTGCTGGCCCCGGCTTAAGCTATCAATCACGGATTTGCATCTGCGGCAGGAGGAGGTTGGGCCAGGGGGCTAGGGGCATGCCGGTTGTTCAAGGACACTGTGCCCTGGCCGTACAAATCCGCTTAGTGTAATAACGTGTTTCTCCGTTTCCTTTTTCGTCGTCGTTATCGTCTGAGCCTGGGGGCCTAGGAGCCTGTGAATGTGTCAACATTTAAATCGATATGTTTCTCTCTGTTGATTTAGTTAACTCTCTGTCCTCTGTCCCCTGCCTTTTCCCCTTTGCCTACACCTTATATTCTACCCCTCGCTTATGCAGCGCACAAAAGTTGACTGGCCTGGCCCGCATCCTGGCCCAAACGTCCTTGGGGCGACACATCAAAGGGAGACCCAAACCAGATAGAGCCGAGAAATCGTACAAACCGAGAAGTCCCCTTTACTGACAGGCATTTTTCCCTTTTCCCTTTTTCTTTTCTCCTCTCTCCACAGCCAGCCAAGATTGGCCAGATCTGGACGGGACTCGGACGTGCCGCAACCATGATTGGACGTTTATTTCGCGCCCACGGCGAATTCTGCGCCTCCCATCCCTGGGAGGTCATTGTGGCCCTGCTTACCATCACTGCCTGCATGCTGACGGTGGACAAGAACAATACACTGGATGCCACTAGCGGTCTGGGCACAGCCACTGCCTCGGCGGCCACAACTGGAGCGGCTCCAGGAGCACCCATACCGCCACCGGCAGTGGGAGGTTCGGCCACTTCCAGTCGGCATCGTCCCTGCCACGGATGGAGTCAGTCCTGCGATGGCCTGGAGGCGGAATACAACGCCGCCGATGTCATCCTGATGACCATTGTGCGCTGCACCGCCGTGCTCTACTGCTACTACCAGTTCTGTAGCCTCCACCGAATGGGCTCCAAATATGTGCTAGGTAAGTGTCGCCCTTGGTCCGTGTCGTGATGTAATCCCCTTAGTGGGTCCGATTCGTTTTGGGGGGCACGTGTGTTGACCAAAGTGGTTAGAATGCCGGCATTGTTTGCACCCGCTCCGAACTATTTCGGCGGCCCCCCGAAAGCTGGGGGGGAACAAAAAAAAGCGCAAACCACACACAAGACTGGAATGTTTGGCCAAGATTTTAGAGGTGGGGCGGACAGGTATGTAGTTGCCAGTTACCTACCACAGCTCCCTGGCATTTCTCACGTGCGCTCTAAACGATTCGACCTCCGTCCGCTAATGCCTCCCACTGATCATCTCTCATGTTTCGCGTTCTCTTTCAGGCATCGCCGGTCTCTTCACAGTCTTCTCCAGCTTCATCTTTACGACGGCCATCATCAAGTTCCTGGGCAGCGATATCTCTGACCTGAAGTGAGTACATCGAGTCAAAAATAATTAATAAATGTGCTAATGAAATCGACAATTAACCCGACTTTCAGGGACGCCCTGTTCTTCCTCCTGCTGGTCATTGACCTGTCCAACTCCGGCCGACTGGCCCAACTGGCTCTCTCGGGTAGCAACCAGGCGGAGGTGACTCAGAACATTGCCCGCGGTCTGGAGCTTTTGGGACCGGCCATTTCCCTGGACACCATTGTCGAGGTGCTGCTAGTGGGCGTGGGTACGCTGTCGGGTGTGCAGCGCCTGGAGGTGCTTTGCATGTTCGCCGTGCTCTCAGTGCTAGTTAACTACGTGGTCTTCATGACCTTCTACCCAGCCTGCCTCTCGCTGATCTTTGACCTGTCACGGTCCGGCGTTGACATGTCCGTTGTACGAGAGAAGGCCAAGGGTTCGCTGTTGCTCAAGTCGCTCACCGAGGAGGAGCAGAAGGCCAATCCAGTGTTGCAGCGCGTCAAGCTCATTATGACCACCGGCCTGATGGCCGTGCATATCTACAGCCGGGTGGCCTTCTCCGGGAGTGACTACGACACCGTGGACAAGACGCTTTCGCCAACACTTAGCCTGAATGTGAGCAACAATCGCACGGAGTCGGCCGAAATCACAGACATAATCATTAAGTGAGTATAGGATATAAGTCAAAGATCTTATGTATATAAGAAGACTTAAAAATATGTTACATATATGATCATTCTTTAAGTCTAAGATCTTTAACTTTAACCAATTATTTGTATTTCTTTTTTCCAGATGGCTGACAATGAGCGCCGATCATATAGTGATCTCCATTGTTCTCATAGCCTTGGTGGTCAAGTTCATTTGCTTTGACAATCGCGATCCCCTGCCAGAGCAGCTGCGTCAATCCGGGCCAGTGGCCATTGCCGCCAAGGCCTCTCAGACCACACCCATCGAGGAAGAGACTAAGGATGAGCAAAACAAACCGTCAGAGATTAGTGTGGCTCCAGCTGTACGAACGCCACTCTTTACCATTGAAGAGCAGAGCTCGGCCAATGCTTCCACTCAAACGGAGCTTCTGCCTCTGCGTCAGCGACTTGTCCAGCCCATTAGACCGGCACGACCACTGCAGGAATGCCTGGATATCCTGAACTCCACTGAGGACGGAAATGGACCCGCTGCCCTGAGTGATGAGGAGATCGTGGCCATTGTCCATGCCGGTGGCACTCACTGTCCATTGTACAAGATCGAGTCTGTGCTAGACGATCCGGAGAGGGGAGTTCGAATCCGACGGCAAATCATTGCCGGACGTGCCAAGATGCCAGCGGGACGTCTGGATGTGTTGCCCTATGAGCACTTCGACTATCGCAGGGTCCTTAATGCCTGCTGCGAGAATGTGCTTGGCTATGTGCCCATTCCTGTGGGATATGCCGGACCTCTGCTGCTGGACGGTGAGACTTACTATGTGCCGATGGCCACCACAGAGGGTGCCCTGGTGGCCTCTACGAATCGTGGATGCAAGGCTCTCTCTGTTCGCGGAGTTCGATCCGTGGTGGAGGACGTGGGTATGACCCGAGCACCGTGCGTGCGATTCCCCAGCGTTGCCCGTGCAGCCGAGGCGAAATCATGGATCGAGAATGAGGTCAACTATCAGGTGGTGAAGACGGAATTCGATTCCACGTCACGGTTTGGCAGACTGAAAGACTGCCACATCGCCATGGATGGACCACAGCTGTACATCCGTTTTGTGGCCATTACCGGCGATGCTATGGGCATGAATATGGTCTCCAAGGGCGCCGAGATGGCATTGCGTCGCATTAAGCGCCAGTTTCCCGACATGCAGATCATCTCGCTTAGCGGGAACTTCTGCTGCGACAAGAAACCAGCGGCCATCAATTGGATCAAGGGACGTGGCAAGCGGGTAGTCACCGAGTGCACCATCTCGGCAGCCACACTACGCTCCGTGCTCAAGACGGATGCCAAGACTCTGGTGGAGTGCAACAAACTAAAGAACATGGGTGGCAGTGCCATGGCCGGCAGCATTGGGGGCAACAATGCTCATGCAGCTAATATGGTAACCGCTGTGTTCCTGGCAACCGGGCAGGATCCCGCCCAGAATGTCACCTCTAGTAACTGCTCCACAGCCATGGAGTGTTGGGTGGAGAACAGCGAGGACCTGTATATGACCTGCACAATGCCCTCGCTGGAGGTGGGCACTGTTGGCGGTGGCACGGGTCTGCCCGGTCAGAGCGCCTGCCTGGAGATGCTGGGAGTGCGCGGAGCACATGCCACAAGGCCAGGAGACAATGCCAAGAAGCTGGCACAGATCGTCTGTGCCACGGTTATGGCTGGTGAACTGAGCCTTATGGCGGCGCTGGTTAACAGCGATCTAGTCAAGAGTCACATGCGGCACAATCGGTAAGTCTGACGATTTAAGGAAATATTTTTAACACTAATTAATACTTTTATTCCAATTCGTTTTAGCTCCTCCATTGCCGTGAGCAGCGCCAATAATCCCCTCAACGTGACCGTCTCCAGCTGCAGCACCATCAGCTAAGATTGGGCGCTGCAGGGGCGCCGCCTTCTTCCCTTTTGTACATAGACACTATCCGGAGAGGCCAGGCTGGCGAGATGCAACTCATGTCTTTAGGTGTTACCTTGTAGTTGAATATGTTTCATAAATTGCTTGATAAATAACCTGATGATTGGCCAGGCCAAGGAACCGAGAAGCAGCGACAAATCCTCTCGAAGCCAAAGCTGTGAGCGTGGGATGGGGGCGAATCTGTCCAGTCACTGCTACTTCAACTTCCACTTAGATTGTACGTTTCGTCGTAACGCTATTTTTTTTTCATTTTTAACTGAATACTGAATGCAGATCCGCGACACCTGGCTGCGGGAAACTTGCATTACCCGTGGCTAGGTGCCAGTCATTAGAGAGCTATGATCGGGACTAGTGCAAGGGCTGAACTTGTAAAAAGTATTTCGTAAGCGAAAAGTAGTACATAGGGTTTATATAGTGACTAAATTAAAACGTTTAATTGTAGATCGAGTACGATCGGTATCTTAGTTTCTGTTTTCGTTTTTAACAACAAAAAATACAAACACAAAACGTAATGGATAAATGTCTTTTGTAGACGCTGCTCATGGGTTCACAAATCAGCACTTCATTTATTTTACTTTTAATAATAATAATTATTAATAAATTATTATAATTAATTTATAATAATTCACGGCGCGTTTTTTAATTAGTGGTTGTGGTTGTGGTTGTTTTTGCTTTGTTGTGTGTTTTCAAGTATGAATCGTATAAAAAGAAGATCGAGCGGTGGCGGTTAATTCTGATCCTTGGCCTCGGCCTCGGCATCCTCATCGGCCTGTTCCACTGGCGGCACACGGACATCGCCACTGCTATCTGGCTGGACGACCATCTTCTTGGGGCTCGGCTCGTTGCTGTCCGCTTCAGCGGAAACTGTGCCCGAGGATCCCGCCGCTCCGGAAGCATTATCCTCGTCCTCGTCATCGTTGGTAGTCGACTCCGGCTGCAAGCTGGCGGCGGCCTCGGAGGTCACACCGTTTTTCGTCTCCTCCACGTTGCACTCCTCCGGATGTGTGACCTTACGCTTGGCGATGCGCTCACTGAGCGCCTTAAGCAGCTGGGCTATGTCCGCTGGCCGGCCCATTGCCAGAAAGATCTTTACCACGCCGGAGTTGTCGATGGCCGTCAGGCGGAGTGATTTCTGGCTGGCCCGCTCCGCCACCATGGCGGCCCAGACTTTGGTGTTGACCAGCAGACGCAGGTTGCCGGAGGTACGGAAGACCACGCGCGAGTTGCCGCGGCCATCCTTGGCATCGTTGAGGCGCAGGCTTCCGCGTCCCCGCTCCTCCCAGTTACTGTTCAGAAAGGCGAACAGCTTGCAGCTGACATCCATTATATTTATCTCGTCCTCCTCGCCGGTGAAGGTTTCTACCTCTTCGTATTTGCGCTTCTGGGCACGGCTCTCCTCATACTCACGGGCCACATCGGTCAGGCTCTTGGCTTCTGCTGATTCCTTGTTGTTATTGCTGTTGCTGCTGGTGCAGGTGGAGGAGGAAGCAGCAGCCGCCTCGCTGGTATCTGTGGTCTGGGCAGCATTCTGGATGACGCTGGAAAACAGTAGGTGCGACGAAGTGGATGTGGAGGAGGAAGCAGCCTCCTGGGCGCCCGACCCCGAACTGGCCGACGCCTCATTTACCTTCGGTCCCTCGGCGCTGGCCTGATCCGAAATTGGAGCAACCACACGCTCGTGTACATTCTGCCCGAAGACGAAGCCGCTGGTCTGGACATGGGGCATGTTATTCTTGGCAGCGGCAAACATACTGGAGCGTTCAATGCCGTTGCTGCGCAGCTTGGTCAGCGGATCTGGGCGCTCGTCGACCTCTTCATCCTCCTTCTCTGCGGCCTTCTCGCTGGAGGACTCGGCCACCGGGGCTGAGCCGTCGTCTCCCTCCTCCTCCTCGTCCTTTGCCTCGCGAAGAAAGGGATTGTTAATCAGGGCGCTGTCCTCCGATTTGTCGCTGCCACTGGCGGCGGAGGTATTGGAGGATCCGCTGCTGTTGGCCAGCACCGCCGGGCGGAGCACAGCCCCGCCCAAGCGCGAGGCCTTTAGGGTGAAGCCACCGCGGAAACAGTTAGTTTCGACTGACGCTTCTGTGACAAGAAAAAAACAAGATTCGGGTGATAGTTGTCGGGAGGTTGGCTACCAGCCCGCCGTCCTTGGGATGGGCGGGGGTTCCACTGCATCAAAGTCGCTAATCGCAGCACTCACCATTGTTGTCGGACATCTCAAACTTTCGGCTTTTAGCAATTTGTTAATATAAATTGCCAATTTTTTTTTACAGAACAGCGTTCTCTGCCAGTGTGCTAAAGCGTCTGATCGGTCAATCGGTGCTATCGATAACCGCGCGGCTTTCCGAGCGGCGCCTGCCACGATTACCAACACTGTCCGCCCAGTGCTGTCAACTTGCCGCAGAAAAAACAAGAAATTTACAAGTCATCGGCAGAGTGTTTGAGAAAAGATCGGCAATAATTGCATTGAACAAAGCGTAATATTTACCAAGAGCAGGCAACCAGCTAACTAAACATGGCTCAGACTCTGGAGGACAAGTCGATTTGGGAGGACGGCGAGGAGTCGCTGGGCGAGGAGGTGATGCGTATGTCCACCGATGAGATTGTGAGCAGGACTCGCCTTATGGACAACGAGATTAAGATCATGAAGAGTGAGGTGATGCGGATCACGCACGAGATCCAGGCGCAGAACGAGAAGATCAAGGACAACACCGAAAAGATCAAGGTGAGAACGACGATAACTCTGCCCAAAACCGACCATAAACTCTCATCCACTCTCCGTAGGTTAACAAAACGCTGCCTTACTTGGTTTCCAATGTCATAGAGCTGCTGGATGTGGACCCACAGGAGGAGGAGGACGACGGATCAGTCACTGTGTTGGACAACCAGCGCAAAGGCAAGTGCGCCGTTATCAAAACCTCCACTCGTCAGGCCTACTTCCTGCCAGTCATCGGTCTGGTGGATGCCGAGAAACTGAAGCCCGGTGATCTGGTGGGCGTCAACAAGGACTCGTACTTGATTCTAGAGACCCTACCGGCCGAGTATGACGCTCGTGTCAAAGCCATGGAGGTGGACGAGCGACCCACAGAGCAGTACTCCGACATCGGCGGATTGGACAAGCAGATCCAAGAGCTGATTGAGGCGGTAGTGTTGCCCATGACGCACAAGGAAAAGTTCAAGAACCTCGGCATACACCCGCCTAAAGGTGGGAACCACATATTTTGCACTAACTAGTGTCCAAGTTAATCAAGTGAGTCTGTCTTGTTCTCAGGTGTTCTCCTGTATGGTCCCCCTGGAACCGGAAAGACTTTGCTGGCCCGAGCCTGCGCTGCCCAGACCAAGTCCACCTTCCTTAAGTTGGCCGGTCCGCAGCTAGTACAGATGTTCATTGGTGATGGTGCCAAGCTAGTGCGTGATGCCTTCGCTCTGGCCAAGGAGAAGGCTCCAGCAATTATCTTCATCGACGAGTTGGACGCAATTGGCACCAAACGTTTTGATTCAGAGAAGGCCGGTGACCGTGAAGTGCAGCGTACCATGTTGGAGCTGCTCAACCAGCTGGATGGCTTCAGCTCTACCGCCGATATTAAGGTTATTGCTGCAACAAATCGTGTGGATATCCTGGATCCTGCTCTGTTGCGTTCCGGTCGCCTGGATCGTAAGATCGAGTTCCCCCACCCAAATGAGGAGGCTCGTGCTCGCATTATGCAGATCCACTCCCGTAAAATGAACGTGAGCAATGACGTTAACTTTGAGGAGCTGTCCCGATCGACGGATGACTTTAACGGTGCCCAATGCAAGGCCGTATGTGTGGAGGCTGGCATGATCGCCCTGCGCCGATCAGCCACCTCGGTAACGCACGAGGACTTCATGGACGCCATTATGGAAGTGCAGGCGAAGAAGAAGGCTAATCTTAACTACTACGCTTAAGCTATAAATTTGCAGTTTAACTCTACATTGTCCGCTCGCCCCTTTAAATAAACCATGATAAATAAACACAAAAATTAGTGTAGCAGTTTTATACATATATACTTATGTAGGTTTTATCGAATTTGAACTTCATTCGCGCCTGCTGGTATATTTAAATGTTTATAACTAATCTATACATTTATCTACAATAAATCTGAAATGTTTGTAAATATTTCACAGCAGATCAGCGTTTACTTCTGCTAATGCCAATGCCATTTTAGGCCACCCTTTATCATTGACTAGCAACGGTGCCCAAAATAAAAGAAGAGATATAACAAATGTCGATCGATTCATTGGTTTATCAGTACAACATTCATTTCTGAGTACGATATTTTTTAAATATCTAAAAAGGTCGGCTTTAGAATTAATAAAAAATATTAAATCGGCGAAATTAGATGATAAATATTTACACGCACACTAATTAACCTAGAGGGATGATTAACCAATTCGCTAAGACTAGTCAGTGGGGCCGAGTGTGTTCACGTTTGCACCGTCTGGCGCCGCGGTCGTTGAGCTACTGGCCCCTTCCGGAGTTGCGTTAGCATTGGACGCAGCAGTCGCGGACGCTGCCGCAGATGTGGATGGAGCAGGTGCAGCTTGAGGAACGGCTGCAGCCGCAGGAGGTGCTCTCACTACAGCCTCTGCACCAGCCACAGGTGCTGCTTCTGCCCCCACCGGAGCCAGATTAACGGGCGCAGCGGCAAGATCATCTGCAGGTGCTACTGCCGGCTGATCCGGCTGCTGGAATGGCCGCCTCATGTACATGATGATGCCCAACAGCAGAGTCAAAACGGTAATCATGTACAAGTCCCAGTTGGCAGCGATGTTTTCATCCATATAGAAGATGAACCTGTATGGGGACTGAGGGAGGAGAAGATTAAAAAGGCAACTCAGCGATTTTATTCGTTATTTTTGCCTACCTCCTTGATTGATTCAATCTTAGCTAGCATCTGCAGCTTGAAGAGTGCAATGGCCACTGGCACCTTGGCGTCTGAGTTGGTCTCGGCAGCGAGATCATACAACCTCTTGGCCAAATGCCAATCCTTCTTCATACCGAGCCCCTGCTCGTGCATGTATCCCAAGTTAAACATCGCCTGGGCATTATATTGCTGCTCTGACGCTTTCCTGTAAGGTCGAGATTGGTTTTTGAGGGTTTAAGCAGATGTAAAATAAAATTGTACCTACCTGTAGAGGGCAGCTGCAGTCTCAAAGTCCGTGGCAGTGCCCCAGCCGTAGTAATAGTAGTCACCCAGCTTAACTTGGGCAGCCGAGTAGCCCTGTCCGGCAGCTCGTTTCCAATAATAGAAGGCGCGAATCAGTTCCTCATGCCGATCGTTGAATACGTGCACCTCTTCGCGATCCAGAAGAAATGCTGCATTGCTCTGGGCCACCTCATAACCCACTTCTGCCATAAGCGAGTATTGCATGTAGGCCTCGTCGACACGATTTTTCTTATAGTCGCTATACGCATGCATCAGGCGGCTGGTCCAGCGTCCACGCTCGGAAACGGTTTTGAAGAACTGCAATAAACCAATATTAAATTATCTATAACAATTTACATATTAAGCTAACATACCTCCACTGCTGCAGGGCAAGAACGCAACATTCCCATACCGTAGGCATTCATTACACCCAGATTATAGTAAGCCAAGACATGACCAGACTGGGTGGCCAAATTAAAGTACTTCAGGGCCAGCTTGTAGTCAGCTTTTACGCCATTTCCAGCTGAAAAAAAATTAATGTTAGAAAACCAGATACAAACACAATTATTTTTAGTCTATATCAATAGACAAATATTGTGCAATAATAACTTACTAAAATACATGTTTCCCAACTGCAGTTGGCCATCAACCCATCCTTGATCAGCGGCCTGGGTGAAATAGGACAACGCTTTGATGGTGTCCTTGGGCACGCCCAGACCCTTTAGGTACATCAGTCCCAATCCACTCTGACCCACCGGATCGCCCATTTCTGAGGCCTTGAGGAAGTACTATGCAACGAAACAAATATAAAAATGAGCAAGTAAATCAATAATTGTTATCAATTTTACTCCCACCTTCAATGCGGTATCATTATCTGCCTTGATTTGCTCACTTCCCTCCAGATAAAGTTTTCCCAGGAAAGCAAATCCGATCGCATTGCCTGCATTGGCTGCCTGGGTGAAGTACTCAAGGGCCTTCTGGTGATCTTGCTGAATGGCCTTGCCGCCCTGGTAGTACAGCTGGCCCAATCCCACCTGCGACTGAACGTCACCCTTGTCGGCCAGCAGCTGGTAGTAGTCCACAATCTCGGTCTCGTGGCTACCGGGGTTCTCCAGCTCGTCCAGCAGCCGCACTCGTTGTACGATTGGTCCGTTGGCGAAGGTGATCTTGGATGCTACCTTTTTGGCCACCCGCTTATAATGAATCAACGCCTTCTCACAGCTGATAGGCACATTGATGCCGTACAGATAGCGATATCCCATGGCCATCTGGGCCAGCGTGTTGTCCCCCAGGGCCGCCAACCCGTAGTGGATCAAGGCCAGGGGCTGGCTTACATTCTTTCCGCCAACGCCGGCCGAGTAAAGGAATCCCAAGCCCATGTGTGCCTCTGGGACTCCCTCGTTGACTAGGCTTTCGAACTCGTCGGCGGCATGGTTGAAATCGAAGTCCATCCAGTGACCCAATAGCACGGCCCACGCCAGCTCAGCTCTTGCCTTAAGGTGGTTAAATGCTGCTGCCTTTTTGAGCAGCGTGAAGGCCACTCTTTTGTCCGTCCGCGGCTTGGCCAACATGTCCATGGCATTCTCGTACATGGTTTGAGCTATAAAGGAAGTAATTAGGTCCAGCAGTTGTGGGATTATATGATGTTTACCTTCGATTTGCTCAGGGGTTTGTTCCGAAACTACAGTTGGCTGACGTTGCTCCTCGATTCGCGCAATCTCGGCCTTTAGCTTCTGCTGCCTCATTAGACTGTCGGTCCACAGGCGTTCGAGCAGGGCGGACGGCATGACCTTTGAGCGCGTAGCAAACTCTGTTGTGTCCTTGGGTTTGGCCGCCTTGCGTTCGTTGCTCTCCGCGGGTACCCGTGACTCCGTCTCCGCTGTGCTTACCTCATCAGCCTCAGCCTGGGTGGACGGCTCACCGGGCAAAGTAGGCGTGGCGGTGCCAGTGCCTGTGCCTAGCCCCGTGCTACTGCCCGTGGTGTCCGCGGTGGGCCCCTGCAGCTCTTCCGCTCGTAGCCGCAAGACCAGGAGCAGCATCAGCAAGCACACCCACTTATTAGCCTTAGTCATTGCTTATCTGCGTGGTTTGGGGATAGGAATACCAATAAGTGTTAGTAAATTTACACAATAATTTTGATTTTCGTCTTTGCCTCGTCTATCTGCTCTTCACGTCTGACGTGTTGTGTTATTAATTCTTCCCTCCGGACGCAGCGCCAACGAGCAGATTGATAGCTTTTTATCGGTGCGGTCGTTCGGCCTATCGCTGGCACATCTTTGACTAGGTGCGATGGGTGGTTGGAATGCCCTCGGTTGTCTTTTTTTTTTGTTTTAATTTTTCACACGTAAGAATCTTAAAATTTTTTTTTGTTGCAAATGTTTTTAAGTTCAGTGCTGTGAACAGGCGCAGGGAACTGGCCAGTGTTAGAAAACGACGCGGCGATAGACGACGGTTTAACGGACGTAGCTCGACAGTTTTATGAAGGGGATGCGTTTTACCTAAAAATATATATATATAAATATAATTAGACAATTAAAAATTAATACAAATCTAACGATCTGCAGATATTATATATTTAATTAAATATACATTTAAATTAAACATTTTATTGAGTTTTTTAGGGCATAAAGATATGCAATAACCATTTTTATTTGATTAAATTAAAAAATATGCCTAATCTCAATACACTAATTTTATTGCTAAGGTTGCTAAACCACTATACTGATAACTAAGAACTTGGCCGAGTTAATAAACGGCCCCCATCTTGGATTTCAACAGCTGCTTCGGCACCCCTGGTCTACGCCCCTGGACTTCCGCCTGTTGTTTCGTTATGCAAAGGAATACGGAGACTTAAAGACTTAACATTGGTGAATTGCAGCTTTTGACGTGCGATCGGAGGTGATAATTCCGAGCCGGACTAATTAGAATACGAGGAAGGTTCGTCGGCCGTGAATCACTCACCATTGTCTCGATCGATCCCCTCAGCCGCCAAAGAGCACCCGGCATGGAGATGAGTGTAAGTAGAGCCCTGCGTGCCAGACACCCAAGCCCGAAACCAAGAAGCCGCAGTCGAAGCAGAAACCGAAACCAGTTCCAAGCCGTGCTTCGAGCGAGTCAGTCAGACAGCGAATCATTATTTAAGCTTGGTTACTAGCGCTGGTGAAAGTTACAGCTGTTGCGCACACTCCCCTGACCGTTACTTACCTGTCCCCCGCCCCCTGCTCTGGGCCACCTGTAATTCCAGGCTGCTATGTTTGCGCGAGTGTCCTTCTACCCCACCCTACTGTACAATGTCCTCATGGAGAAAGCCTCCGCCAGGAACTGGTACGACCGTATCGACGAGCATGTGATACTGGGAGCCCTGCCCTTCCGCAGCCAGGCCAATGACGTAAGTAGCCCAGATCGTGGCAAGGATCAAGTAGACAGACTAACCAGCCTTGCGGTATCCTCAGCTCATTGAGAAGGAGAATATGAAGGCGGTGGTGTCGATGAACGAGGACTACGAGCTGACTGCTTTTTCCAACAACACGGAGAAGTGGCGGAAGCTGGGCGTTGAGTTTCTACAGCTGGCCACCACAGACATCTTTGAGTCGCCCAACCAGGAAAAGCTCTTCCGCGGTGTGGAGTTCATTAACCAATTTTTACCCCTAACGAAGCGAATTAGGGGTCTCAGTTCGTCCCAGTCACCGGAGAACGTGGGATCCGTCTATGTCCACTGCAAGGCGGGCCGAACGCGCAGTGCCACCCTAGTGGGTTGCTACCTCATGTTGGTAAGTTGAATATCGCCTTGATGCAGATCCATCAGAGATTATACGTTTTGTTCTTTACAGAAAAACGGTTGGACTCCGGATCAGGCGGTGGACCACATGCGTCAGTGCCGTCCGCACATTCTGCTGCATACAAAGCAATGGGATGCCCTCAGGTTATTCTACACAAACAATGTGGAGGCCAAGTCATGACCAATACCGGACAATAGACCAAATGTTTTAATGCTTACATAGATTACCATACGTAACAAAGGTGCTGTGGTGCGGTGTCCGTTTCCAGACTTATTTAGTGTGCTATGCCAACCCAAATGTGTTTGTTGAATACAGTTTTCTAAAAAAACATACATAACATGTGCAGCCGTTACTTTATACAATTGTTTATTTACTGCCTAACGCGGTCCTGATTATTGCGAAACTATGAATAAATAACTGGTGTTTCGTCGTTCGTCAACTTCCGTTTCCAAGCTTATGCCTGCTTCTTCTCGGCATCCTTACCCTTGATGGCCCAGAAGCGTTTGATGCCATTGGCCAGTCCGACGTCGTTCTGGATGAAGTAGAAGAGACCTCCCAGTGTGGCCACCGAGATGATGATGAGTGCGATGTGGGCCACCTTAGGCAGGACGTTGCCCACAACGGAGGGGCGCATATAGTCCACCACCATGGCCTCAACACCCCTGCAAAAAATTGAAATTTAATTAAGTTTAGAAAATATCTTAATATTTTTATACAAAACTCGCCAAAGGGCAAAATGTACTGAATAATTATGCTGCTTAAATTCATTCGAATTTTAACTAAGTATAAAATCAAATTTACCAATGAGCGTGGATCACCACTGATATGGCCAGCAGGGCGTCCAACACCTGCGAGGGGGCGATGAATGCAGCTGGGATGACGGCCAAGAGTCCGGCTGATACCACTCGCTCCACGGTCCACAACAAAGTGTGGCTGCCGCCGGCGGAGGCCATTCTAGGCGCGCTCACGGAGATCTCACGCACAACAGGCTACAAAAGCAGATGGGATTACAAGTTGCAAAGTCCCCTCCAATTTCGTTATTCCAGCACTCACCGCAGCAATCTTGGCCACGGCCAGAGGTTGAACCACAGCCCGACGCTGGGCATTAGCCACGAGAGTGGAGTAGCTCTTCAGGGGAGTGATGCGAGCCGATTTAACGAGATTTGCGGCTAAATGCGGATACCAACAAACAGTTTGGTTATATAATAAAAGCTGTTTTGCAGCAAATTGTGAAGTAATTGACCATCTCGAAGGTCCTTACCATTGCAACGGACAGCGCCACGCAGGACCATTGACAGGGACATCTTGGGATGTGTACGAATTGAAAATTTTCAGCTCAAAATAAAAATTCACTCCCTTGGACGTACGGCCGACTTAACTTAGAAATTATACAACACTGTCTGTTGATATCGGTTTGACACAATCTAACAATCGATATACAGTCATGAACAAAATTAAAATCCCGAATTTAAAAATTCCTAAACTTAGTATAAAAACATAAATTTATTTGTTCGTGTCATTTATTTATCTGCTTTAATTGTGTAAACAAAACTTTGAGATTCTTGCTGGACGGAATGGCTGTTGCTAATTACATGTTAAAAATGGTTTCGTCAACTTACAGGCTATAAATTTGCTTATAAAATTCAATAAATCGCAATCTAAGGCACACAATTAATTCTAAAAGTCACTCGAGGTTGAATAAAATTTCGTTGGATGGTTAAATTAAAAAATACCTTGAACTTAGTTGGCGACCAAGACCCTTACCAGCCCGCAGACCAGGGCGAATACCCAAGCCAGTTGTCCATCGAGGGTGGCTGCTCCTGCTCGGTAAAAGTCCCAATCGAAGACTATATTGGAAGCGTCCGATGGTTTCCATGGGTTCAACCCGTCGTCAAAGTACATGGGGCAGTCGTCGCGTTCACGCTCATACTCTACAGCATCGATGGCTACCGCAGCGCCCTCTGAGTGGTTCCACGAAGTCACGTCCTGCTCCAACTTGCAGAAGGCACCCACAGCCTGCGACATAAGGACGCGGTTGAGGTCAGCGCGTTGATACACCCAGCAGCGGTATTTGGAGAGTGGATCCAGATCGTCGTAGGTAATCAGGTAGGACTTCAGATTCTCCTTCCAGAAGCCAATACATTTCATTCGGTAATCGGGATCACTGTAGATATCAACCGGGCGACCCAAATGATCTACAGACAGACAATAGTTCTCATCCACCGCCAGTTCCTTTTGGTCAGTATCGCACACCGACAGGTCGGATATGTTTTGTTTGCAGTGGATATCCGGGCGGGGACTCAGGGTGACACCACCAAGAATTCTGAAAACGGTCGAATAATTTTAACTTTGGTTAATCAAAAAATAATTAGTGTTTAGCGCAATACCCACCTTGTTTTGAAGGGATGTTCTCCCCGTTGGGTAAAGTTAAATTTACCCGCGACAGGACAGCGAACGGGAACAGGATTTCGAGCCAGGAACAAGTCATATTTCCAGGCCTCCGCATTCGGGAACTGAACCCACGAGCAGACCGTACTAAAGTCGTCCTTGATAACGGCCAAACCCTTGCGGTAGCGAATGATGTTATGGTGGCGGGGCATAAAGTCAAAGCAGACGTAATCCTTTTGGCAGCCGTCAACGGTCAGGCGGGCCATCATCACACGATTTCCACGACGCTCGCGGCACACATAGATGGTCTTACGGTAGCGGGCCTTGTCTGGATAGTAGGTCTCGTTAATGTGCGTCTCACTGATCGATACATCGGCATCAATATTGGCCGTATTGACCCATTCGCCGCTAAAGTTCTGTGGCAGTGTGCAGCCCGGTTCCACAAACTCGGCTTTTACGGGCGTCAACTTGAGACGCTCGGGCGAGGTTTCAGGCGTCTTTAGGGTGTTGCACTCGGCAGTGATGGACACACCCACATAGAGATCGTCGTCACGATTCTTAAGGAAGCACCGGTACTTCTCATCCTTGCGAGATTCCTTCGTATTGGCCACCGCGAAGTAGTGATTCTTGCCCACAAACCAATCACCCAGACAGCTGAACTCCACATTGCCGCTGAAGGTACCCTCCATGCCCTCACACTTCTGATAGGTGATGTTGAACTTCTGATTCTGGATGAGGAACTGGGTGCCCGCTGTTTGGCAAGACTGGATGCGAGCGTCTGGCTTGTCACATACGCCAGTAAAACGGAAACGATTCTACGGGAATAGAAGTTTGGGGAATCTATTAATTGTGGATTGTGAATTTAGGAAATAGTTAACGATAGCAACGATGGGTATTAAAAAAAAAACGTGAAATAGCTTCCCCAACAACAAACCTAGGTAGACCTAGTTTGACCTATATTTTCATACCTGGTAGGTGAAGTGCCAAACTCCCTCCAGCGAAGACCGGCAGTTGATGGGCACAAAGTTCTCATTGAAGAGCGTGATCAGCTGCTGGTCATCCTTGATGCCCCTGCAGACATTCTCCACCGTGGGCTCCTGTCCCGGCGGCAAACTCACGCAGGGACCCTCAAACTTTTCGAACACATTAAGGGTGCGGATGATGGTCCGGACGCAATGGTAGCAATTTTTGGAGCGCTCCTTGAAGACGAAGGAGTACTCGTCGCCGTGGTGGCGCATGTAGTTGATGCAGTAGCCACGGCTGGACATCATGGTGGCATCGATCACCGTCTGGGTGGGAAGGCCCGTTTCCCAAGAAAACCAGGATCCCTGCAGGATCTTCGGAATGATGCAATTGCGCTGCTCCAGCTGATTGTATTGGCCGATAGCTGTAATTGGAAATGTGTGTAGGATTCGGGGGTCAATCCACATGATTCACATGGAGCCATGGGGTGTGGCTTAAAACGGAAGATCACTGACCTGAGCCGACCAAGCCCGCAAGGCTGATAACGCACAATAAGTAATGCATTTTGGGTATGGTGACTTTACACTTAACAGATAAACATAATTTGGGACGAACACTTTCGGACGAAATCAAGAAAACCGAGTTTATTTTCTTTACCAACAAAACACGCAACAAACAGTTTACCAATAGTCAAGCCGTCCTTTGCAACACTAAACACTCTATTACAGCGCAAACCTTACAGCACTGACAAAATTAAATTTAAATTCAAAATATTTAAAAATGGACGAAAAAATTTTAAAAGTGCACCATATAACTGCTTATGTGAGAAAGAGTGTAACTTTGTGGAAACCACAAAAAGAAGTGACGAGGACTAAGTTTGTTTGAGCTAGCACGTAATCAAAAAACGTAAAGTGCTAAAAGCGTAATCTTTTGACGTAAGAACAATGCACATATTATGTGTTGCAAAAAGCAGTGATAGTTAATGCCAAACAGCAGTTACTTTTCAAATTTAAATTATTAGTTATAACGCCGAGGAGAAGGAAGAAAAATGTATATAAATAAAATTAAATGTTCCAATTAATTAAATTACGACTCCTAATTAACAAAAACATTGCACATTTCCGACATATAAATCTTTATATATCTATATTACAACTAAATATTTTTGGAAAAGATGTATAGGAAATATGTTATTTTAATTGATTTGTATACCTTTGCAGGGTATTATAATTTCAGTCGGATGCTTAGAACGCAGTCCTATAGATCATATATATTATTGATCAGCATTAACAGCCGAGTCGATACAGCCACCTCCAACAAACAATTTTTTTTTATTATTTTCATTCCGTTTCCCCAAGTTAGCTTTCTTCCTATTTTCTTAATTGATCTGTCTTGTTAATTACACAATTAACAATTTTAATTTTTTATTGTTATTATTATACATTTAAATCAATCATCACTTTCATCATCATTTTAGCTGCAAGCAAACCATTACAGTGTAATGATTACACGTACAGTTCTATGAAGAACCTTTCTGAAACTGATTATAAATTTTCCTTCAGCATTTTCCATAGGCTTCGTAGACAACAAAGAGCCGTAAAAAATTAACCCACCAACAAGTTCCATTTAAATCTTATGAATTAGAATAAATATTACAGTAGTATAAATATTACATCAGTATTTTCTTTTTTTTGTACTTCAAGATGTGTGTTTTTCTGAAAAATATTAATTTTCCGAATTCCAAATATTTGGTTTAACATTTAAATTCATTAATAAAATAACTTTGGTTGAAGGGATCCCCTTTTTATTACACAAAATAGAGCTGAATCATACCACTTAGTATTATCTGAAAATGTTATTTTTAAATAGTTAACAGTCAGTCTGTCTACGGAGTCACTTTCCGGTATGGGAGGGTTAAAGCTGTCTGGGAAGTCGACAAAAACGAGCACATCGAACCGAACCCGAACCCAAGCTCGAACGCCCCCGCAATTATTCACACGGCTGCAGTTTGGACCTTTCGTCACTCGGTCCGAATTAACAAATTAGCACATTTTGATAGCAGAGAACCTAATCAGGCGATTGGTGGGATTACGATCACTGGCCAGATATCCCAGGAATGTGATTCACATGCACGGAGGAGGAGTTCCTAAGTTGCAGCACTTGAGTCCGACTGAACTTTGGAGCCCCGTACACTTATATGAATGGCGTGTTGCTGATAAGTCCGGCGAAGCGTCTAGGTGCACAGTGTTTGCGCCTCTATCCGCGCCTTATCGGATGGCAAAGGTCATCTCCGAGCATGATGCGAACAGGCAGCCGATGCCAAGTTAGTCTGATTTCGGGACCAGCCGCACCAAGTCTATTTGAGAGCAGTTCGATCGAAAGCCTGCCAGTATCACTTGAGCCGGTGACAGCAACAGTACGCGCGAATCTATAGCAGCTCCCTCAATCCCTAAACAAAATCCAAACAAATGGGTTAGTGACACGCACTTCTAGAAAAGGTTATTCCTCTAATTCTCCGGTTCATCTTTGATCTTACGTAGCAACTGCAACCAGCGGCAGTGGACTCCATCTGGAGGCCATCGATCGCATCGGCTCTATTCCTCTAGTGGAGACCAGTGTGAAGCGAGTGGAGAATCTTTACGGCAAGGTCAAGAACAACAATAGGCTCTTCTCCTGGTATTTCGAGACCGCCGAGGCCACGATCTCCGCAGCCTATGACACAGTCCAGCCAGCGGTGAAGCTCTTCGAGCCCTCCATCCGACGCCTAGACAATGTGATGTGCAAGAGCCTGGACATACTGGAGCAGCGTATCCCACTGGTCTATCTACCCCCCGAAATGGTAAGTTGACGGCCGACCACTGACCCCCATTCGCTGACAAAAAGGGCATCGTTCTCTGCTTGAAGATGTACTGGAACACCAAGGAGTATATGTCGGATCACCTGGTGCGTCCGGTCCTGAAGCGTGCAGACTCTGTCAAGCAGATTGGAAACGCCGTGCTGGAGAGCCCACTGACCACCTACGCTGCCGACCGCATCGATGGCGCCTTCACTGCGGGCGATAAGTTCGTGGACAAGTATCTGGTGCCCATCAGCACGGATCAGGACCAAACTGACGGTAAGTGGTTGTCTCCGGTTTCAGGGGGAGGAAATATAACTTCTTTCTCAACTACAGGTCGATTGTTAATTTTAAAAGGTTTCTTAGACGTCAACAAAATGCAGTGGATACCGCTCATAAGGAATCCAGGTTAGGAGGCCTCTTTTTTAATTGAAAATGAAGCTATTCTTTGGGTTGCTGCTTGTATCCAAATGTAAAGATCACTATCAGGGAAACATTTTCGAAAATATTCAGTACTAACAAGTTATATTTAAAATATAGACAAAAGCTTGCTGGGAAAAAGTTTTTAAGATTACGCCTGAGAGTTTCAAAAATGTTGTTAGCAACCGAGGCAAATTGATCCACCCAAAGGTGCACTCATCTCATAGTTTATTTTTAAATGCCGACGTTGTCGAGGAGAGGTTATCGGTTGGGAATTGCAAATTCATTTCAAGTCGATGCCTGAGAATGTTGCGATAAGCGCGCTCTCGCGGTTACACAGAACTCACAAATCAAATCACAAAGATGGGCACTCACAGATTTCCCATATCCGCTTTGCAGCTCCACAGGAAGATGATAACGAGGCGGTGCCGGACGAGCGGGGCGCCATCAAGGCAATTCATCACGGACAGCGCTTCTCCCGCAAGCTCAAGCGCAGACTCACACAAAGGACCATAGCAGAGGCCCGCGCCCTCAAGAAGCAGAGCAAGGAGGCCATCCATGTGCTCATCTATGCAGCAGAGCTGGTTAGTAAGAGAAATATTTAAACTAATATAAATTCAAACATTTTCTATAACTCCAAAAGATTGCCACCGATCCGAAGCAAGCTCTACAAAGGGCCAAGGAACTGTGGGTTTATCTGAGCGCAGATGAGCCCGAGAACCAAGCCAGACCCGCCACCCTGGAGCAGTTGATAGTGCTCTTGACCCGCGAATCGGCCAGACGAGTGGTTCACTTGGTGAACTTCAGCGCCCATGTGGCAGCCAATATACCAAGGTGGTTTTAGCCGACATTCAGTCTCTGTATTCGCAGCTATAAAATTATACTTATTTCCGACAGACACCTGGCACACACCACCACAGAGGTGGCCCACCAAATCATATACATCAACAACCGCATAGTTACCATAACCAGGCTAGACAAGGTCAAGACACTGTCCAAGGAGGAAGCTGAATCTCTCTTCAAGCGCATGCTCGCGTTCTACGGCAACCTGCAGGGCCTTACCAACAGTTACCTGGTAAGAAAAAACTTAATTCCATAATGAAACTGAAAAGGTTGTTAACAAATCAATATAATACCTGCAGGAACGCGTGGCCAGCTTTCTCTCCGGACGTATTGAAGCCGAGAAGGTGACAGGCAGCGACAGCGCCAACTCCAACCACAGATCCTCGCGGAGGCGGCAGGAGGCGAACCATTACTCAGCCTCCCATAATAACATCAACGGCGTCTACTAGCTTCGAGTTTTTTATTGCAATCGTATTCTTATTTCTTATGATAGAGTTTTGTTTCTCCGTGCATATTCGCACGATTCAGTGAAAGATTTTTATATATATATGCATTTTTTTAAAGCAATATTGCCAATATTATAAGCCCAAAATATCAAATGGACCCCCTTGTATTTACAAAACAAAACGGAGTATTTTTGTTTTGTTAAATATTATAGGTACGCCAATAAATAAAATAGACTAATAACAAACTAAATGATAAAGCCTCAATGAACATAAAAATTTACTATCCATGGGAAGTGGATATGGTTAGAGGTAGATAATTGGGATCATTAGTCAAATCAATTGCAAAATACATACATCTGTTCGCTTAAAGATGGATTTACTTAAACAAGTTCTGCTTGTAGTACTTGAGCTCACTAATGCTCTCGTAGATGTCGTCCAGGCTGCGATGGGCAAAGATCTTTTTCGGAGCGTTCCGAACAACCTCAGGATGCCATCTCCTCGCCAGTTCCTTTATTGTGGACACGTCTACAATGCGGTAGTGCAAATATTCATCCACCAGTGGCATAAATCTCCTGATAAAAAGTCGGTCCATGTAGACAGAGTTGCCTGCGAGAGGGCATGCCCGCTGGGGGATGTTGGCCTTCAGATAGGACAAGATCAGATCGTTGGCCTGGTCCGGCTTCACCGAAGAGCTCTTGCAGCGGCTGACCAAGCCAGATTCGTTGTGGTGCTTTATGCACCACTCGCTCATAGAGTCGTACACCTCCTGCGGATGATTAATAGCGAAGCAGGGGCCCTCTGACTTGATGTTTAGTTCCTGATCGGTTATAATGCAGGATACTTCCAGTATCTTGTCCTTTTCTATGTCCAAGCCGGTCATCTCGAGGTCCATCCACACGAGGTCCGTTTCAGTACCACAAACACTCCGACTACTGCTCATTTTTGAAATTTGACTGAACGCAATGCTACGGCAACGTTGTCTAACAAGCAATCCGGGCAATCCTAAACGTTTTAGAGTCGGAAGCATTTATTTTTTGCGGGCAAGTAATTTTCCTAAAAAATTAATTTGGTAACACGATAACAGGAAAACATCGATAGTCATCGCACGTGACAGCCGATGTTTGATAGAACTGGCATTGATTTTACAATCGGTGTTTGCCCATCTCTAGTACAGACCTTGCATTTTATTAAAAAAAAAATTGTTTGTAGGGGACTCAAAAGCTCTATAAATTGCCGAAATATGTCGTCCAAAGACCAGCCGGGCACGTCCCGGGAGACCTTCGAGGACTTCTACACCGAAGTAAGTGTGACGGGCGGACCGCTGCAGCCTACAGTCTGAGTCTGGCTGTGGTGGCCTCTCACTGGAGCCGCTCAAACTAAACTGAACTATTTACCTTAATGTACACATTTGAGTAAACGATTTTGTGCCTATATTGCAGGTGAAAGAAATTGAAAAACGTGATTCAGTTTTAACTCCTTCTCAACAAATTGATCGTTTACTTCGTCCAGGTTCAACGTACTTCAATCTCAATCCATTTGAGGTGCTCCAAATCGAGCCCGAGGTCGAAGTGGCGGACATAAAAAAGAAATATCGCACCTTATCCATTTTGGTCCATCCAGATAAGAATCCCGACAACCAGGAGCGCGCTCAGCTGGCATTCGACATAGTGGCGCGTTCCTGGAAAATCCTGGAAAACGAACTCACGCGTAAAAAGTGTCTGGAAGTGTACGAGGAGGCCAAGGGGCGAACTGATCATATGGTGAGTCCTGGACAAGGGATCAGTTAGTTATTAAACAAATTCAAATCATTTCTATCATCCATAATTGGTACATTTATATTATTATTTAAAAAGCCTTTAAAAGTTCAAATGGATTTACTTAGTGTTTATATTTATGTGATTTACAGATCGCAGAGAAACGCAAAAAGCTCAAAAAGGAGGGCAGACCCACCGAGCCCATTCCTGAAGACGACCCCACCAAGTACAAGCATGCCATCTACGTGATGGTCATGAAGCTATTTGCCGACATGGAACGGCGGCGACAAAAGCTCGACCAGCGCGACCAGGAGGAGCGCAAGCGAAAGCGCGAGACCGAAATTGAGGAGGAGGAGCGCGTCAAAGCTGACCGCGAGTGGCAGCAAAATTTTGAGGAGTCGCGACAAAGTCGCGTGAATAGCTGGCATGACTTCCAGTCTGGCGCCGGCAAGTCCAAGAAGACCAAGAAACAAAAGCACATGACCGGCATGATGGTGCCACCCAAGTTCAAGCCGGAATCACGATGAAGTTGCTTCCCAACGCGGCGCCGTCTCGACCATCGCCACCTAGCGCGTCGCGTTGATCATAAATATTTTTACATTTTTATATAAGTCTCCTTTGGAATTGTAATTGACACACGTGCATAATGTATAGACTAAGAAATCACATTTCGTCCTTGTTTATTCTCTCTTGACGGGTTGCCTTCCTCTATTTACAGTTCCGTATACAGAGAAGCGGTGAACACAATATCGCGTTTGATGGCCGCAGACGCCTCCTCCATTTTAGACTGCAGTCCAGGATTACCAATTCGTATGGCAGCCGTTTTTACATCACGCAGCGTCTCGTCCAGCTGCTGGATGCACCGCACGATAATGCCCTCCTGCACCTCGGTCAGTTTCATAATCTCAGCAAAGGGCTGTGGAATGGATGCAATATTACTTTAATACCCTTAACAAAGAGTAGACACTTACCTTGTTTCTCGCCCACTCGTAGACCACCTCGATCAGGCCGAAGTTAAGCCTATTCTCTGCCTCGATGACCGCATGGTAGCGCTGCTCCTCGGCCAGAATTGTGTCGTTGATCTGTTCAAAAGCTGCTACACACTTCTTCAGCGGCTCCGGAATAACAGGCTCGCCCTGGATTTTCGCCTGGAAGACAAGGCCAGAGAGCAGGGCCGCAATCTCAGCGGGTTCGAGATCATTGAACATGTTGCACAGAATGAGCTCTGTGATCAGAAGCTCGTTTTGGCCCATCTCGCAGGCCACTTTGCCTTTGAGTGTCACCTCGTTCAGCTCATCGATATATTTGAGAGCTCGAAGCACGTCCATCTTGTTGCAGTAGTCAGGATAGAGAGAGAGGTTCTTTGCGGAATTCTTGAAGCGCAGCTCCTCGATGTGAATCTCCAGCATGCGGCGCTCATAGACCTTGGCGAACTCCTGCTCGAAGCCGGCTATGTTGGTGTGCGGTAGCAAGTCGCCCACTTGCCGAAACAGGTGATCTACATAGTTAAGTTCGGCCACTTCCGTATCCGCGTTCACATTGATCTCCTTGGACAGGTTTACAAACTTGACGGAATCCGGATTGGCAATGTAGTTCTCGTTGAGCTGGTGCAGTTCGGTTACAGTCTTGACCACGGTTCCACCTGGCGGTGTGTCCTTAAAGCGCTCTAACTGCCGCTGCTCCCAGTTCCGGATGATCACATCAGCATCGACCTTGAATGTGTTCTTGGTAATGCTAATAATATCAATTGCCTTGATGTCCAACACAGTGTGTCCCCCAATTCCCTCCGGCTGGAACATCTTATGATTAGAAGTGAGGGAGATAATTTTGTAGTAGAGCTCGCCTCGCTGCAAATTATCATTATCCTTTGCCTTGAACTGGTGGTCTAGGACTAGTACTTTGTATACAGTGTCCTTGCCTGGAACGGACTTGGTGTTAAGTAGGATGGCCAGCTTGTTGTAGTGCTTTCCCTGGGTGACTACGATGACGCGGCCCACTTTCAGCTCTTTCTGGATCTTGGCTTGGGTGACAACGAATTTCTGAAATAAATATAGTAGTATAGTGGAAATATGGAAATATCCTTAAAACCGGGATAGGTTCAACGAAGATTCAGCTCGTCTTTTCTTGTAATGTTTGCAGAAGTAGACCCACCATGGTACGATGCTTCTCCTTCCAGTACTCCACAGCCTTATCATAGAATTCAATCAGCGGCTTCAGGTGCTCGCCAAGGGTCGGAAGCATGGCAAACTTGTCCTCTGCCAGGCGGAGCTGCTTCTGTTGCGTGGGCAGCTGCAGTTTTTGGTTGAACTCCTTGAAGCTAAACTTCATGATGTCCTCCACTTTGATGCTTTCGATGCGTAGGCAGGTGAGGATCACTGCATAGCGCAGAATGAACTGTGACTGCAGCTTCTCGGGTAAGCCAAGGATCATAGGTCGCAACTCCATCGATGGCGGCACATTGGCCTTGCACAGCAGAATAACCGTGCCCGTTTCATCGTGACCTCGCCGGCCTGCCCTGCCAGCCATCTGAATGTACTCTCCGGGTTTCAGATTGCGCACCTCGACGCCATCGAACTTCTTGTGCGAATCGAAGACAACCGTGCGAGCCGGCATGTTGACGCCCATTGCAAATGTCTCGGTTGCAAAGAGCAACTTCACCAGTCCATTCTGGAAGAGCATTTCCACGATCTCCTTGAGTATTGGCAGGATGCCGCTGTGGTGCACTCCGATGCCCCGCTCTAGGGCGTCCTTGAGGGCAAGCACCTGTGGAATGGTGCGATCCGGAGGCTTTAGCTTCGCAAGGCATTGCAGGAAGAACTTTTGCACTGAACCCTTCTCCTTCTCCGTGTTGAGATCCACCGACTGCAAGGCCGCAACGTTGGCGTCGCACCGATTCCGGGACAGGGTAAAGGCCACTACTGGCATCTTGTTGTTGCGCCGCAGAAAATCAATTAGTCCGATCCAGGTGTACTGCTCCTGCTTGGCGTTCACGTAGTTCTTTGAAGCGCCACCACCGCCTTTCGCCTTGCCCTGCATTTCCTTTTTACGCTCCACGGCCTTCTCGTAGTTACCCTGCAGGTACTTTCCTTGAGCGTCCACAAGCAGGAAGATATCGTCCCGGCTCTTGCCGCCGGCTCCCGTGTAAAGAAAGTGAGTCAGAGGAACGGGCCTTTTTAGAGTACTAATAACATACACCTTGCGCTTCTTGGTGCTGCCAACCCAGTCGGCCAGCTCCATGGTGTTAGGCACTGTGGCACTGAGCATTATGATGTTTACGTGGTCCGGCAGTAGAATGATGACCTCCTCCCACACATGACCTCTTTCCGGGTTATTGATGTAGTGCACCTCGTCGAAGATGACGTATTCCAGGTCCCTGGTGACTTCACTCCCACAGTACAGCATGGAGCGCAGAATCTCGGTGGTCATAATCAGGCAAGAGGCGGTTGGTTCGATCTGCAGATCCCCCGTAATCAGTCCAACGTCTTTGAAAGTCTTGCGGAAGTCGCGATACTTCTGATTGGACAGAGCTTTGATCGGGGACGTGTATATGGTGCGGGTTAGATCGCGTTTTGACAACGCGATGGCGTATTCGGCCACCACCGTCTTACCGGCCGAGGTATGGGCCGCCACGAACACATACTGGCGCTGCTCGAGCTTGAGAATTGCCTGCTTTTGAAAGACGTCCAGCTCGAAGGGAAACTCCATAGCCGGGCAGGGTATCTGCTCCTTAAAATCGTTGATGGGATGACTGATGTCCACCATCTCGGCCCAGTCGCTCTTGAAGGTCTTCGTGGCAGTGGAAATGTTTAGCACTGGCTTAAGGTCTGCCTTCATGATCTGGTCATCGACGTCCTGGAACTCCTCGGAGGGAAAGGGCAGGTTTCCCTCTCCGGCACCTTGAGCGACTCCAGAAGAGCCCGTTTCCGGAAGGCGCGTCAGCTGCATCCACTCTTGCACGTCTAGATCTTGTTCCAGATTCTCCAGCAAATCCACGTTGCTGGCGTCGGGTAGTACAGGCGCCGGAGCCACAGGCTCCGATTGGGAGAAGTTGTGACCGGACGAAAAGCCCGGTGGCACTGTGAGCAGCTTGTCCCCGATCATAAAGTTATCCACATCCAGTGCCGCGATCTGTTGCCGCTGCTCGTCGAACCCGCCTGGCCAGAAGGGATAGTTTGAGTGCGAGCCACGCGTCGCCTCATCTAGCAGACCCGGTTCGCGCTGCATGGACATCGAATTGTTGGCATTGGCCCCCACATCCTCCAAGTCCACCTCCAGGAATTCCAGAATCTTTCCGCTCTGGTCGCGACGAGGAACTAACTTAGTAGTCCCAGGACCGCGGGGCACATGCAACAGGCGCATCGGATCGAATTTGCGTGGCAGTACGTCCGGCAGGGGATCGTGGATGGAGAGTTCCGGGCGCAGGATGTAATTGCGCAACCTCTCCAGGTTGTCCTCGCCCCTAATCTCGCTCATTTTAAGAGTTTGCTGCAAAATAAAAGCGCTTTGTTTAGCAAACGAGTGTCGGCAAAATAGTGCGAAACAAGATGAAAACAAAGAATGAAAAAGTAAAAGGGAAAAACTATGGTCACTTTAATATCGAAATATGGGCGCGTTCCGAATTCCACTAAAAACTTGTTAGAAGTGATTTAAAATCACTTGGTCATTAAAAACGCATAGAATTACAAGTTTTTTATTATATTTGCTTGCAAAGGAATTACTTATAGTTTTGGTTTTAATTATTGATTTAGAAACGTATAACAAAACAGAACTTAGCTTTAATTGCTAACTGCAATTCGATCATTAAAAATTAATACAATATAAATATATTTATGTTCAAAATGTTCAAAAACTAAGGTATGCCTTCTGTCAATACATTCACCTAAATATAATATATTTACAGATCTACATTTACAGTTCTGGATTTTCCTCTACATTTTAAGAAAGTTAACAAATTAATAAATAATTACACGCAAATATATTTATTTGAAATAGGATAAAAATATGTTGAATAGAAATAATATTTTTTTTTGCTTTAGTAGTCCGATTTGTATTAAATTAAAAGTTTATGCATAATATCTTTATCTCAAATTAGATGAAGATATGTTGAAAATTTGAAAAGTTATAATTTTTTTCTACAAATTTCCCGTTCGTTCCTATATGTTTATTCGATCCGGCCCATTCCAACTTTTATACTATTTACAGTATTTAGAAGACTAACTGAAAAATTTCATTCAGATAGCTTTAAAACTAAGAGACTAGTTAGACTCCTCAATGACTCGTGACTTCACTGCTTTCGAAATTTTTGACTAAAATCATAGGGGTATAAAAACAAGTCGACAAAAATAAATACCAAACCATGTTTAATTAAAAAGACAATTATTTTTGCAACTTTCTAGGGATAATATATTTAAACACAAGCTTTACTGCACATAAAAAGCTATCAGTGTCACTGTTTTTCGATTTTGTTACAACAGGTAATAACTGTGATTCTTGCTCATCTCTAATGAGTGAATTGTTTTTGTTTTTAATATGGCACTGGGTAACCAGAATTTCTTCATTTGTAATACGAATAAATCGATCAGCTCACTTTCTGCGGAAAACCTCGACCTTGAGGGGGTGACACTTATCGTCTGGCACTTCGGCGCCCACCTGGATGGAGACATCCCCTTGGGGACAGGCGCTCAGGGCCACCAGCAGATTCATGTCTGCTACAAACTCAATGAAGTCTCCCTTGCGGGCGGGACTCGGCTTGCAGAAATACTGATGAGTGTCCCGGGTGAACCCTGTGCACATGAAGATGTTCCACACGTCGTGCACATCCTGCTCCGCCAGACCACGCTCCTCCACAACCGCCTTGACCAACGAGCTATGGCAACTGCCCACCCGATCTTTGCCCGTGATCAGCTTGTAGGTGTAGTCGTCGCAACGCGTTCCAATCACATCGTGCAGTGAACCTCCGTCCTCATCAATCCCATAGCCGGCCAGAGAGTCGAACACGAATGTGGCCATGGGACGTAGATATGGCAAGCAGCTCCACAGGCGGTCGTAGACACTCAGGTGCGACGAGTGCAACTGGCGCGTCTTGCCGGAGTAAAAGCGCTCGGCGGTGTTCTCGAGGTTCCAGAAGTTCATGTCGCCCACCTGCGAGCCCTCATGAATGGTGACGCGGCAAAGGTCGCCAGCCTGCATTGTCCAGGTGCGTGCTTCCCGCTTGGGCACCACCAAAGTCTCCACCAGATCGCCGGTCAGAGCCTTGAAACGCTTATCCTGAAATTCTCAAGAATAATCAATATATGCACAATCTCGGGCATTCGTTGATGTAATCTCTGGATAAGTCTCTTTGGAAATAGTACTCAAATTCGCTTGTTCATCTAATCTTTCTATGTTGCTTATAATGCTCCAAAGATCACTTATCGTCAATAAGATTAGTAACTCATAGAGAGACTCCGAACTTACATCGTATTCCTCCCTCGATACAATCGATGCCTCTGGTTTATCATAGCAGACAACTGGAGAGTGCTTCTCAAAGGTGCGGGGCTTGTCGCCACGACCACACCAGGAAGTGGGAGCGGCAGGGGTTTCAATTGGAGCAACAGTAGCCATGTCTACGGAGAATAGTTCGTCACTAGACGGAACATGTGACCGATTGCACTTACTTCTCAGCTGGTCTAATCAACGACCGAATACAAACTGATCTAGCTTTACAGCTCGGCCGAGCAGGTTAGCTCTGCTAGAGCTATCGATAGGCACGGCATGGGCAGGGGCCTCTATCGGATTCCAAAGAACCGGGTATAGTTGTTAAGAACAGAGTTTTACTTTATATGTTCATGAATTTGACCAAGAAAACTAGGTTTACATAGCAAGCATTTAGAAATCAAGTAAACAAATTAACAAAAATAATTATTCTTCTGGCATTGTCTTTTCTGACGAAACATTAATGTATTAACTATAGAGCATTCATGATGTATGATGCAATACTCAGACCTATCCTACATGTGGCTTCCTTTCGCGAGCGAGTGAGATGCTAATCAAATCTTTATACCTAAGCTAATTTGAACCTAAACTAGACAAATAATCTTTAATCAAATGTTATTTTCTTATGTTTCCATGGGCTGTCGCAATTTAAAGCGCACCGAGTTTTCCATGTTATCCAGCAATTCCTCCAGAAGGATGCGCAGCTCCTTTGACGAGAACTCCTGCGGCAGCGGCAGCCGTTCCAGTGCCACCCTTAGCACAGAGGACAATTCCGTGTTGGGGCAGATGATGCACATGCCGTGAACCAGATAGCTTATGCTTTGCGAGATCTCGCTCTGGCAGAGCCGATGCTTTGAAGTGGGACACGGAAGTAGGGCAATCCTTGAGCAGAGCTCACTAAGCTGAGGCTTTAGGTTCTCCCAGCGCGCGTTAATATCTGCGATGTTTTTCGTGTGTTGAATCTGGTTGAACTTGGCACTGATATCAATAAAGTCCAGGAATATCTGACCCTGGTTGGCCCAGTTGGGCACACGAATGCTGCTGCCCTCGGTGTTCTCGAACTGGATGAGAAGGCTGTGCAGGTAATCCATTCGTCCTGCAGAGTAGAAAAGAAAACGTTAAAAACGTACTAGTATTGTGTTACAATAATTCAAACTCACCGTTTATAATCGCATCAGGAGCTATGTACTGAAAGATAATCTCGTGCGCTTGCACCCAGTGTTTGGCCTTCAACAGGTACTTGGCTTGCAGGTGTCGTTTTCCCAATGCACCGGCTTGCACTGCCTTGGCGTAATCTACCCAAGACATAGGTACATTTAAATCGTCCACAACAAAGCACTCCTCTGCATTTAAAGGTATCTTGGCAGATACCATTACGTTGCGCTGCAGCATCTGCTGCACAGCCCGTTCTCGCTGTAGCCGACGCTTGAGGTGCAGCAAGACGAAAATGCCCCAGTGCCAAAGTCCTTCGTTCTCCAACTGGCTAGCAAAGTCTACCGTGAGGCGTGACTCTGCCAGTTCCGAGCAGTGCCTGTAGCCAAGAGCTCGGAGATTTTGAAGGACAAGCCAACTAAAAGAAGCACAAAAATTAAGTTTTCATAGGAATTATTAGTAACAAGTTTAAATTATTTATAATATATTGCTCAACTTACCTTAAACGGAAGTCCATGGGATCGGCGGTATGTGTAATCGGATTGAGGGTTTCTTCCAGGGAATGCGTTCGCTTGGAATACAGCTGGAGCAGGTGGTAGCGCATGTCGTAGACGGGTTTCTTTTCAATAGCAGGTGCTTCCTTGTAGCTTGGCTTCGGGGGCTCCGCATAACACTCCTCTGCCTTGAAGGCCTTGTTGTATGCATTAAGAGCATCGGTTATGGTGGAGGTTGGGGCTGTGAAGTACCACAGCTGCATTGCCAATACCGTCAGCCAGTTTTGATCTTCCAACAGGTTTATAGCTCCTTGGGAACTCTGCATCATGGGCACTCCGGCGGCCAGCATAAACATCTTTAAGCGCTCCAGGTCGATGTACTTGTCCGACTTACTCTGCTGCCAGGCGTATAACTGCTCTTCCATAAGCAATCTGAAGTCTGGACCGGAACTGAGTTGGGCCAACACAAGAGCCAAATTCGCGTCATCGTAGCTGAAGGCCAGCTCACAAGCTTCGCTTACGCGGTGGCAACAGAGCAGATCCAGCATGTGCTCCAGGTAGCTGTGGTTGCTCACTTTCTTCGAGAGCAAATCCTTGCCCATTAGCGTATTCTCGAGCCACTCTGAGAGCAGGCTGCGCCGGCACATAACCATGTAATGCGAGTTGACATCCATGTCCAGCAGCTCGTCATGCACGCCCCACAGCGCAAACAGGAGCGACCACACGGACACATAGTACTCCTCTATCTCGCCGGCGTCTCTCTGCTTTAACGACTCGGCAAAGTGTTTAGACACCAAATCTGTGCCGTTGTTCGGGTGCAGCCAGGGGCACTCGCTGCCCTCCACCTCCACAGCGAGACTGTCTCGCAGTTGTACCTCCAGGTGGGCAATGATGCCATCAGCAATGCTCCCATTGCCCTTGACCATGTTAAACTGCACCATTTGCATTACACTGGGTGACATATCGGTAGCCAAACGTGGCGCAAAAACCAGCGAAGCGGGCAATGCAGATCCAGAAACTTCAATAAATTTAAATTTGTGTTACGGCAACATTATTTAAGTAATACTATTGGGTAATACATACATTCTTTGAGATTGCGTAGGTTGTTGAAGGTGCTCGGCAATACCAGGGAGTTTTTTGGTCCAAAACTTAGCTTAAAACTTCGGCCCCTATATAATCCCAGATCAGCGATCCAGGTTTGACGTAAATCATAGGCGATGGATCGCGGTAAGGGAACCGTGGTGGCAAACACCTTAACCGATGCCACCTTGGGCTTGCAGACAAATTTGAAGGGCTTCAAGACGACGGAATCCGTGTGCTTCTCCTTTTCGCTGCCGGTTGCCATTGATGAAGTCTACAAATTTTAAGAGTTAGCAATTTGCCCTTGGATGGGGATTTCTATACATACTTCCTCGGACTGTGCGTCGCACATGAGGCTGGCCACAGAGGCCGAGGATGAGACGGGCATAGCAGATGGGTGCCCAAAGTCGTATTGGCTGGAGTTCTCTGAGACGCCGTCCTTCCATGGAGAAGGGTCAACGTTGAACAAGTTGCGATGTCCTCTGATTGGTTCTTAAACGACAGAGTTTCAAATAAATATTTTAAATATTGGCTACATATAATTTTAGTGACACTTACCCATAGCCTCATCCTCGCTGGCATTGTCCTCCACAAACAGGGAGGACTTCATCAGTTGCATCTTGTGCGGTTCGTTTCCCACCATTTCTTGGGCCACAGCGGCAGTGGGGCTAGTGATGGACGGGTAGGGACGTAGCGGTGCATCGAACATGGAGAAATTTGATCCGATGCCGGCTTGGAAAAACTCTGCGCGCACATAACAAATCAATTATAGCGAATTGAATGAAATATCTTGCTAAAATATTCACTTACGCGTTTTATCAAAAAGCAAGAACTCAGCTGTGTCGTCCATTGATCTGGATCCGTTGGCCACTCCAGCGACCAATGCCTTTGTATCAAGGTTGCGGGCCGCATCTTCCGATATTTTTTGAGCCTGTCGCAGTGAATTTAGTGTCATTTTATCAGCAGCTGCTCGTTGTTGCGCCTCCAAGGAAATCATTTTAGCCTTTTTTGGATCGGTGGGCACTTGTTCCTCCTCATCGCTGTCGTCCAGACCGTATTTCGAGAAGTGTTTTACGCGGAATACCCAGCTGCCCGTCTCCGGACGGTACTCGATGAAGCGTGTGTCATTCTTGTCACAAACCCGTCGCAGCTTGCCTTCCCAGTCCATCTCAAGGAGGCGCTGCGGCTCCTTAATGGCTTCATGTTTCGTCTTGTCCAATGGCCATACTTGATCGAGGGTTACCTGAGCGTCTCGGTTCAGGCCCTGGCCAATGGGAGGCTTGTTGTCGTCATCGGGATAAATAATAATTTCCCTGTTCCGGAAGTGTACTGCAAGGGAGGGAATGATCAGAATACATAATATATATCTTGAAAGTGCACCTTACCGATCTCATCTAAATTCAGGCCAGCAACATCTAGTTCCTTGCCGAAGAAAACATTTCCATAGCCCTCGCGTCCAACTGTAAAGTTTGGCACCACACAGGATCCATCTTCGGCTAGGTAAGATCTTAGATCGTCCAGCGTTGGGATGGTGTAGTACCCTACACGGCGTAGCACTATGCCTGTGGGATGTGCTTCATAGTCGGCGCCCTCGCCAGCAGCCGCCTGGATGGCCAGACGTGAACGGTTTGCCGAGTGCTCCTCCGCCTCGTGGGATCTGCTCAAAAGCGCACTGTCGTTGGCCTGATCCGAAGTGAATGTGTCGCGCCTAGCAATAGCGCTGGCCTGATCCTCGAAGGGGTTCTCCGGAATGGTGGACACCGACAAGCGCACCGTTGACGATGGGCGGTATGTCTCGAGAGGTTTTCGGGGCACAAGCTCGTTAAGTGTGCTGTTGTGGGGAGACGCTTGATCCATTCCGGTCTGGATATTGTGCTGACGCACTTTCTCCAGGTTGTTCGGATAAAGCCACGACTCGCGACGAGTGCCTTCCTGACTTTCTCGGCCATTCGCCCCTCCTGGCGAGTGTCCTGCTGGCGGTGGCTCACTGGGAATAGCGCCGGTGAATGATTCGCGTTCCTTGTTCGGAGTTCCCACTCTTGCACGCGACTGCGGAGTGCTGGGAGCACTGCCATTTGAGTTGGAGACACTTCCGGTATCGACAGGAGTCACCTTGGGCTTGATAACCAGACGTTTGGCGGTTGGCTTGAGATTAAAGCACTCCACACTCGTATCCAACTCTTCGAGGCCATTAAATAGGGACTTCCGATTCATGGTGCTGCCCAGAGCCTTCACCTTCACTGGATTTGGTATGTCCTTGGTGGCAATCTTGTACTGGTTGCTGTTAAGGTCCAGCACTGCCTGCTGGGCAGCCGGATTTGTGGCTCTGGTAGCGTCGGCCTCGTTGCCGTGTTTTAAGTCCTTGAAAATAGGTGAGTCTCCATAGGGGGAGGTGACCCTGGCCAGGATCTGTTGGTGTATGGGCTGATGCGATGGCGTCGTTATACCCACAGTGGGCTGGGCACCCATCAGTCCTCCGGTCATCGAGGTGCTTGTTCCTAGGCCACCAAAGCCACCGCCCAACGAACCGCCGGCATTTCCGAAAGCGCTGGTACCACCTCCAAAGAGACCGCCAACTGGAGCAGCTCCCGTGCCTCCCAGGGTCGAAGTTCCACCTCCAAAGAGGCCGCCGGGTTTAGCCGCTTGCCCAAATAGTGATCCACCCGTTGTGCCGGCGTTGAAGTTTAGCGGTGCTGCAGTGGTGGCTCCAAAACCTCCAAATCCCGAAGTGGCTGGTTTGTTCAATCCAGAGTTGAAAAGTCCACCGCCCGTGGCTGCTGTGCTGGTGTTAATACCGAAACCTCCAAAGCCGGTGTTTGCAGTTGAAGTAGCTCCGAAAGCAGGCGCAGCAAAGCTAGTGGCCGGCTTCGCCCCAAAGAGTCCTCCGCTCGCGGTGCTTGTGGCGGGAGTCCCAAAACCAAATCCTGCGGTAGCTGCTGGAGCGGCACTGCCTAGTCCAAACGCCGACTTGTTGGGATCGGCAGCGGGTGCAGCACCGAATAGTGATGTCTGCTGGGTGGCTCCAGCCGCGGTTCCAAAGCCGCCGAATCCGGTGCTGGTCTGACCGAAAGCTGGTGCAGCGCTAGTAGCCGGTGTCTGTCCAAACAAGCTAGCTCCCTGTCCGAAGGCGGGCTTTGCTCCAAACGGGTTAGATGCGTCAGTGGCCGCAGCAGCAAAAGGTGTGGTAGTGGCTGCTCCGAATGGTTTCTGAAGGAAGTTGTTCTGCTGTGCCGGCGCTCCAAAGGCACTGCTAGTCGCTGGCTGCTGCCCAAAGGCCGAGGTGCCAAACAGGCTCTTGTTTTCGGTCTGACCAAAAAGACTCGTACCTTGCTGCTGCGTGCTCCCAAACAAACCGGAGGTCGCCGGTTGTGGCTGCGGCTGGGCCACCTGACTGGAGAATCCAAACGCTCCTGGCGCACTGCCTGCCTGCGGACCCTTGCGCGAGCAGAGATAGTCCTCCATGCGCAGCTCCTCCAGCGACTTCAGCTCGTACTCCTTCATGGCCGTGATACAGTGCAGCTTCGTGTTGACGCTATTTGGTTGGCCGCTCTTCATCAGAGTATCAGTGCCGATTGTTGGTTGATACTTGGCCACGGCAGTACCTGAATTAACTCCAGTAGCCACAGCGGTGGCCTGGGGTTGCGCAAACGCGGAGGCAGTGCCGCTGCCAAAGACACTGGTGTTAGTAGGCGCTGCCTGTCCAAAGGAGCCGAATCCAGAGGTGCTTGTCGACGTAGCCTGCTGGCCAAACAGCGAAGTAGTGGGCTGGGCAGCGGCCGTTTGGCCGAAGGCCGTCATTCCCGGTTTGGCAGCTCCAAAGGCCGGCAGCGTCGACTGGCCGAAGAGCGAGTTGCTGGGTGCCGCCTGAGTGGATCCGAATATGTTGGAGGTCTGCTGTGGTTGCGAGAATGCTGAAAAAAATAATATTACAGTTTGCACAGACAAATTAAATGCAGCGTGTTCGTTTCTAACCTCCAAATGTCGAAGGCTGGGCTGTTGTGGTGGTCCCGAACGCACTGGAAGTGCTGGCTCCAAACAATCCGCCCGTGGGCTGCGCAGGCGTGGCTGCTGCACCAAAGAGCGACGGCTGCGTAGGCTGGGCGGCAAATGTGGAGGTGTTGCCAAAGGCTGGAGCAGCCGGCTTGCCGAACGCAGACTGGCCAAACGGAGTGGCGGCTGTGGTGCCGCTGAAGCTGCCGAAGCTGGTGGCTCCGGGTGTCGCCCCGAAGGTAGGTTTTGAGCCGCCAAACATGTTGCTCAAACACTCGTCTCGTCGCTCAGATTACACACATGTATTTGAGAAGCTTCCTTCCTTTGTGCTCCAGACGCTACCGCGATGAGCAATTCCTTTGATTTCACAACGTTGGCCAACGATCAGAAATGGCGCAGTTCCTGGAGTTTGGGCGGCAGGCGGTCGCCCGGGCTGTCTAAGATGAAAATACACACGAAAACCACGAAGTCAGCATAAACAAAGCGAAGGCGGACGCAAAAGATGGACAGAAATGGCGCGCCGATTTTTTTCACGATGTCTGTAGAGAACGAACCAGTGTGACCGCGTATATGTGTAGGTAAGTGCTAGAGGTGGAAAAACAACTGTCTCTAGCTGTCAAAATATCGATGGCGACTTATCGATAGGGATCGGGCTAGGCTTTTTCTATTGTTTTTAGCTCGGACTTAAACCTAATATCTTGGTAAATTTTGCATGGAAGAATTTGCGCAAGTTACATGAAAATAAAATAAACAATATTAGGGGAAATAAAAAGCAGTAAGTTCAGGCAAGGTAAATTTAATATGTGATTCTGATAACATCGGATAATAACATTACACACATTATGTTTTCATTCACATTGTAAACAAATAATACCCTTTTAGGGTATTACATTTTCAGTCCGAAGGTTACAACGCAGTGTAGGATTCATTTTAGACCCTATAAATCATATATATTCTTGATCAGCATCAATAGCCGATCCGATCTAGCCATGTCCGGATGAAATTAATTTTTTTTTTCAAATTTTTTAAAAATTTCACATTTTTCACATCGTTAAAATTTTTAAAAAATTTATAAAATCGTAGTTTTATTTAAATTCTAAGTTAAGTGTGCAGATTTCTTAGCCTGATAAAAATTAACATATAAAAACTTACCGAATTAAAATTAATGCTTTTTAAGCTTAGCTACAAGTTTTTAAAACTTTGATTTGTCGAAAAAATTGTCATATTCTGATATCGACCTAGAGAATTTTCAAATCGATCATTTAATTGCAAACTGCAAGGGTAATTTTGGAGTTCCGAAATGTAGCTTTTTTTGTTATAATATATTTTAAAGCAAATAAATAAATAAAAATAAATAAAGTCGCCGAAATTGAAAACGAAATGGAAATACCGGAACACGCCTGTAAATTTTTATGGTATTTTTAAGCGGTCGCACCGCTGGTCATACTGTTTGCATTGTGGGGCGGGGGGCGTTCTCTTGGATTAATGACTTGAACTAACTTTTAAACCCTAACTAAACTGCCCACCATGGATAAAACTGCCAATCGATCGCTCCCCTTTGTGTACAACTACAAGAACCATGAGGGCATGGAGTGCACATCGCAGCTGGACATCACCTTTCCATTCGACCAAGAATCTCTGGAAGAGTGTGTGACCCAGTTGATGAGCCAGATGGATCCAACAATGCGTTATCTGGACGAGAATATCAGTAAGTTCCAATCAGTAGTCATTGGATCGAAAATAATGAAGTACTAATCTTTTAACAGGAGTGGAGAAGGAGTTGCAAGAGTTTGTGGATACGGAACACCAAAGGTTTTTGGATGACCATGCCGAGAAGCTCCTTAATCAGGCTGCCAACGAAGAATTGGACTTGGAGGCTATAGTGCGGAACACAGAGCAACTGTACAAGGATGAGCTGCTGCAGTTTGCGGATCGCGTGGGTCCCAGTGACGCCGATATATTTGCCCAGAGCTTTCATAGGTTGGTCCACTCTTCTTCGCTGGAGGATATCCTAAAGCGGGAGCGGACCTATGCCAAGGTTGTGGCCGACATGACCGAGCACATGGACAATGAGGTGGAGACACTAAACAACTCGCAGCAGCAGGAGATGGACAGCCAGATAAACCAGCTGGATATTACCACGACCTCAGACGACATAAATAATCTCCTGGCGCAGCAGTACACCACACAGAACTTCGTGCGCAAGCGGTATGAATCCGAACTGGAAGCTATGATGGGCCATCAGAAGAACGAGTATCGGGACTGGATCACGAGCCAAGTTAGTCAAATGTTCCAGGTGTCCCCGGTGGCCACGCCGCTAGGCAACCGCTCTTCGATGTTTGTTTCGCAGCAACCTTCGATGGAAGAGAGCTTCACCATCCACCTGGGCTCTCAGCTAAAGCACATGCACAACATCCGCATCCTCAGCGCCAACGTCACTGAGCTCTGCAGTCCGCTGCACGCCGAGGAGAGCCTGAATGGCTTGAACATGGCCCTGGGTCTGTACTCCAGCTCCCTGTGCGGCGTCGTAGTGCTAACCCCATCCATTCAGGTTCAGGCCAACAAGAATATCATTAAGAACGCCAACAAATCCACCGAGTTTCACTTCGAGCAGATTGATGTGCAACTGGAGAATATCGAAAAGCAGATTCGCAGTCTTAGCACCGGCGATTCCAGTAACAGTAGCAATAGCAGCAGCACAGAAGACAGTGCCACGTCTTCTCCGACAAAGAAGCATGTACCCAAACTGAAGACCGGCGACTTCTTCATAACGAAGCACTCGAATCTCTCGCAGTCCCATGTCATATTCCATCTGATATCGGACGAACCCATCAACAGTCCTAGTGAGATAAACTCACGACATCCCGTGATCTTAGGGCTAAGGAATATTCTCAAGACGGCGAGCAGGCATGACATTACCACGCTTACCATTCCAGCGCTGTTGCGGCACGAGATGAGCGAGGATATGACAGTCCAGTGGTGCATCAGGCGAGCGGAGCTGGTTTTCAAATGCGCCAAGGGATTCATGATAGAATCGGCGTCTTGGGGAGGAGCTGAATTAAGGTAAGGTTTCAGAATATGTTTTTTGCATTTCGTTAATTTTCCAATTGATTTCAGCACTTTGCAATTGCTACTGCCTGACGACATATCGGAGAGCTTGTTCACCACCCTGGCGGGTATGGTGCCCAGCGTTTTCCATGTGGCCAACCCGAAGATTCTGGTGGACACCAACAAATAACTGCAACTGGTTACATTCCTCAGAGAATATTGAAAAGACTTTAAATTATTTGTATGAATATACAGTTTATTCAGATTCAGAGTTATATTTATGTATATGCTTCGTCGTTATTCGTCGTCGTTCCGCTCAAAAAGTTCTCTTGTAACTTCAACACACTCAGAATTGTCTGTAAATGTTCCTGTATCAATTTTTGTCAATAATTCATCGCAACCTTTTTCAAAACTACAACACTACAATGTATAAGTACATATTCTCATATATATTTAGTTATGTTTTAGGTATGTGTAGGTATCGTGTGTATATTACTTCCAAATGTAAATGTTTATCTTTGGTTTCGACCCCCTTCGCGTGTGTTTTGTAATGTGTGATGTCTGTATGTGGATTGTAATTAAGTCTGTTCGGTTATCTGCTTCGATTATAATAATGATACTTTGAATAACTCTGATCATTAACTTGTAAATATGCCTTTGAAATATATATATATATATATTTATGTATATCTAAACAATTGTATTCTGCGGTATCTGTTAGGTTTGTTAACAATTAATTAAGTTCTGTTCTGTTCATTAACATTTCGCTGTTTAACTTTGCTTCGTTTTCTTTTTTGGATTTAGCCCAGTGCGTTGTTTGCTGTGTATGGTTTGCTGCTTTGCAGTGGGGGAATACAGAGTATCAGAAAATATTTGAATATTTGATTGGTTTGTCCGGCTTAAGGGTTACATAAAATTAGTGACAAGTGTTAAGGTACAGGAACGGACCGCTTCGAGTTTTGGGTGCGAGCAATATAATACATATATCATATATCTCTAGGATCGTGATGTGCCAGGATGATGGGTTTTTGGTACTTTTGGGACTGCGTTCGGAAAAATTGACATCTGCATTGTCGTAATTAATTATCAATAAATTACACTGCTATAGCCGGTCGCCAATAAATGCGCATTGGAGTAAATATGGCCGACAGACCTGAAGCGTCCCTGCTATCGGGAAGCTCTGTTTCAGCTTAAATGATATAAATTATAAGCCATTGCTCTGTCTTACGCAAGCTGATTTAATAAATACTTTTAAAATTAAGCCTGAAAACAGAGCCTGGGATCTGAGCACACCTAAGTATACATTCGTGTCGTCGTGATCTACTTAATTTTCTCATTTTTTTTTTTCGCTACCTCGATGAAGAAAAAGTCATGCCAAAAGTCGAATAATGGTTTCTATAAATGGGTCTCTAGCTTAATACTTGGCGCATGCCTTACGTTCTAAGGGTAGTATGCCTAATACATTTAGTTAAATCAGAATACATGTTAAAAAGTTTACTAAAATTGAAACTATCACAAAAAACAAATACTTTCTCAAAAGTACAAATATAACTCAAATAAATTATGGTTTAATTCGTTGAGTATGCAAGTGGGTGTGTTGTGTGTGTGTAAAGTGAGTGCTTCTCCCGCTTGGCTGTTTACATTTGACTCTCCTTGCGCCACTGGAAGGTGCCCGACTTGACGCCAATGCTGGAGGAGCCCTGATTGCTGCTGGAGGAGAGTATGTTGTTGGTGCGTCGGATTAACTGGGAGGCAGCATCGAAGCGACTCCGGATGAGCCGCATTGCCGGATTGCTGGATACGCCGCTGCGCTTGCTCTTGCTGTTAGGGAAAAATATTAAACTATATAAGTTGTTGTTTTACGATCGGAGTTTGTATGCCCCCCACTACTCACCTCGATGAGCTGGGCTGATTTTCCTTGAGATTGCCCAATATAATCCTCATATGCGTGTCCCGGGCAAAGTGATTATCCGGCAGCGAGGACTTGGCCCCTCCGCCACTGCTGGTTCCGGCTCTATCATCATCCACGAAGGCATTTAGGCCCGGCAACTGGCCCGGAGAGCTCAGCTCGCTGCTGGGCGAATGCGGTGGCGTAGCATAGAGCGGCGACATGCACTCCATGTCGTACATATCCGCATCGTTGGCCATATTAGATGCTATTTAAAAACAGTTGGTATTATAAATAAAAGTTAATGGATGTCAGGGGAGGCAATCTTACTAAGCTGATGCTCGCTGAGATCGGGCAGAACCTGTGAGTGCCGCTGGCCACCACCGCCACCGCCGCTGGATTTGTGACCTGATGCGCCTGAACTGGAGGCGTGCTTCGAGTTAACCATCAGATTGTTGCGTGAGCTGAGTTTGCTTTGTCGCTGCAATTGCTGGGTGAATGTAAGTGGCGCTTGCTGTGGAAAAAATAACTTAATTTTAGGGTGCACTTTATCAAATGATTCCAATACTTACATCATTGCTGCTGCCTGTGGACTGACTAGAGATGACGCTCTTGCGCTTGTGCAAACTGCTCGTGTCTGACTGCATAGTGTTCTGGTAGAAATTGTTTGAGCTGTGCGTGGAGCTGGATGCATTGAGGACATGTAGGTTGCTGCCATTGTGCACCGTTGCCGTGGTGGCCGCCGAACAGACCGAGGAGGCCGAAGCGTGCGCCGGATATGGGGCCAGGTTCTGGTGAAGCGGCAGGGCCGGCGGCTGGTCCGGGGACCTCAGCATGCTGGCATGTGCGTGGAACTTGGGTTCGTTGGGATTGCTAGCTTCATCTAGGGAACGGTAAGGAAAGGACAAAAGGGGAAAGCATTAGTAACAGAGCAAGAGGCTTCTCCTGCGCGGGCTCTTACTTTTAGTGTAGCTCTCGAAGATCTTCAGGATGCTGGTGCGACTTGACTTGGCCGCCAGCTTGATGGGCGTGCGTCCGCAGTGGTCGGACTTGTACGGATTGGCTCCGAACTGGAGAAGAGCAATCACGCACTTCTCGTGCCCCTCCTGGGCGGAAATACCCAGGGCAGTGGCTCCCTGCTTGCACGCGTGATCCGCTAGGGCGCCGTAGTAGAGAAGGATGTTCATGACGTCGTGGTTGCCCTGCCAGGCACACGAATGCAGCGGTGTGCGAGCCTCCAAATCCATGGAGTTAACATCAGCCCCGGCCTCGATCAAGGTCTTGACCATGTCTGCGTGTCCCTGCCAGGCGGCCACGTGCAACGCTGTGCGACCTTCGCTGTCCGGAATGTTCACATCCACGTTGGTCATGTCCAGCAGGTACTTGACAATCTCCAGTTTGTTCTCCAGCGCCAGGATGTAAAGAGTGGTTCGCGAGTCCGCGTCCTTCGAGTTGACATCGCAGCAGAACTTCAGCAGGAACTCCACGGTTTCCATGTGGCCCTCTAGGCAAGCCAGTCGGAAGGCTGTCTTGCCGTCGTGCGCCTTCTGGTCTACAAAGCTGGAATGGATGTCCAGCAGGGCCTGAACGCAGTTGAGTCGTCCCTCCTGAGCTGCCAGGTGCAAAGCTGTCTTTCCCTCGTTGTCGCATTCGTCGATCTTCGCTCCCGACTCCAGAAGCTGCAGGCACACCTCGTGAAAGCCTTCGAAGGCGGCATAGTGTAGTGGCGTCCAACCGGCATTGTCCCGATGTGTTTCATCCAGGCCGCGGTCGAGGAGTTGCCTCACCGTCTCCACATTGCCCTGGGCAGCGCCAATGCTGAGCACCGTGCGTCCTTCGGAGTCCATGCAGTCGATGCCACAGCCCCAGAAAAGCAAGAGCTTAACCACAGTGGCGTGTCCAGCCGTGCAGGCAGCCCACAGAGGAGTCCGTCCCATGAAGTCTGCGAGATCCGGATCCGCAGCGTTCTCCAGGAGCAGCTCACAGACCTCGGCATTGCCCTCGAAGGAGCTGACCAGCAGCGGTGACATTCCATCGTTGTCCAACTGATCCGTATTGGCGCCGTGATCCAAAAGCGTTGAGATAACCTTACTGTACCCGGAGGAGCCGCATAGAGCGGCCACACACAACGCACTGCGTCCGTCCAGATCCAGGTGATTCACATTTGCTCCATTCTCGAGCAGAATCTCCACAATGTCGTAGTGACCCATGTAGGAGGCGGCAATCAGTGATGTGCGTCCTTGGCGGTCAACAGAGTTCACATCCGCACCCGATTCAATCAGAAGCTTTAGGATATCCTCGTGTCCGCTCCAGGCGGCGGCCCTCAGAGCAGTGCGTCCCTCTTTGTCGGCGAGATCGATTTTGCAGGCAGGCTGTGCGATTAGGAGACGAACTACCTCACTGTGTCCACCCCAGGAGGCGGATCTCAAGGGAGTCCAACCATCGCGATCGGCATGGTTCACATCGACCCGTTGCATCCGACCAGTTCCGTCGTTGCAGGGTTGAGAGAAGCTGAGCAGCAGCTTCACCACCTCAAGGTGTCCGTTCCGCGCAGCTATGTTCAAGGCCGTTTGGCCATTGTAATCCTCGATCTCTAGATCGATGGGGCTCTTGCAGGCATTGAGGGCCCGTTCCAGCAACTGATGATTACCATCGTTGGCCAGAATGTGGATCAGTGCCTTGCCTTTGTGCAGCTCAATGTGATGCGAGTCGGAAAGCTGATGCAGGGTGCTTGAGGCATTCTCATCCTGACTTTCGGCTGGCGGCTCGCTGTGCTCCGATGGGCTACCCGCCCGCTGGGTCTCCATCAGACAGCTCTTCTCGCTGGACAACAGCAGGTCGGCCAACTCAAAATCAATGTTCTGTGATTTCTCCGAAAGCTCCGGCGACATCAGCGAGGATTCACAGGAGTTTTGGGACTCGGCGTTATTGATTCCCGTCTCGATGAGCAGCTTCAACATCTTGGCGTCCGTGGGCAGACTGGGCTTGAAGAAGTCGCACAGGAACTGGGCGAAGGGCTCGCTCAGCTCGCTGGCCAAGAAGCGCTCCAGCATGGCGCGAGTCTTGGGCAGGAAATTGGCGTCGTACTTGAAATCATGCTCGCACTGGGCGCAGCAATTCATCTGGTTCGTGTAAAAGCAGTCACTGAGATTGAGTCGCGACTCGAGCAGCATCAATATGAGGTCGAGGTCCACGTGCCGGCTGGTCAGGTACTCCCCCGACCGGATGAGATGGTAGGCGAACCTACGCACTGTGTTTGCGCAGAGGGTGTCGGCCACCAGCAGGTAGTACATTGAGATCATGACATGGCCTTCGTTGACATCGCAGATAAACTTCTTGGTGGCGAATTTTACATCAACCAGCCAGTCTGCGAAGGAGTTGTGGAAGATTTTGAGGCGCTGCGCATTGGAGTCGTAAGCCAGGATGTTACGCATAAGTTGTAGCCGCTTCTCGAACTCCTGACAGTCGATGGTGTAGTTGTGCGTGCGAAGGCAGTTGAAAAGGAAAAGCTTGTCCACATAGCCGGAGGAGGCCAGCAGGACATTGAGCAGTGGCCGGATCTTCATGTACTGCTTCTTGTTGAAGGACTTCTGGCAGATGTACAAATACAGGCCGTTCAGGGTGCAGGGGATCAGCTTGATCTCGCGAAAGCTAAAGAAGTTATCCTTGATGCCATGCAGAACCTTCTCCAAGTAGAGAATGCATCCATTCGACTTGATATACAGCTGGTGCAGCGATTCGATGATCTCCTTGGTCAGCATGATGCTGTCCTTGAAGTCCGAGTTCAGCCGGTTAATGATGTACTCCTGCACATCCTTGACAACGTGCGACTTGCGCAGATCATCCAACGTGATCTTCTTGAAGCCGGTGAACATCTTAGTGATCTGCTTGGTCTGCTTCTTGGTGGTGCACACAAGGAAAAGCCACTTGGGGAATAGGTGAATGTGGTTCGAAAGGAGTTCCGCGACATTCCGGCTCTTGTGGCTTGTCACTGTGCCTCTTCCGCCCTTCAGCGTGGAGATGAGATTGCCCTCGTTGATGTAGTTCTCGTCGATGGAGTCGATCAGCAGCAGGAGAGCCGTCTTGGGAGGAGTAAGTTCCAAGAGAGGAAACAGAAAGGCCTTCTTGAAGCACTCGTCCGGGTTCTTCTCGATGTTGTCTACACTGAGGCACTCGAGTATCTCCGGATTGGAGAGCAGCAGCTCGTAGTAGCCATCGGCGATGATGGTGCGACAGCTTTTGGTCTTGGGCAGCGGTGGGGGCAGGGTGTTGGTGCTCATCCGTGGCTTCTCTCCGGGAACTGGTGGCGGAGGCTGAGCAGGTTCTTCCTCCTTTCCATTAACTTTCGTTTCGCTGAAATCGATGAGCGGTTCAGAGCTGGAATTAGCTTCGTGCTTCGGCTCCTCATTCTTCATGTCCTGATCGGACTTATCCAGCTCCTTTAGCTTCTCATTAAGCTCCTTGTCCGCCTCGGGCTTTTCCTCTTCTTTACCCTCGTCGCATTCCTTCGGCTGCTCTGCGTTGTCATCCTTGATGGCCGCTTCTATTTCGTGCTTCTCCTGGTCAGTACTTGGGTCGGCTATATCCTCGCCACCGCCTTGCTGGATGGCCTGACCCGAGCCATTGCTAATGGTGGCCAGCTTAGAAGGAGAAAGCACTCCGCTTCCAGAGCGTCCACGCTTCACGGGTATCTTAGACTTGTTTTTGCCGGGACTAGACTTGGCGGCCTGCTGCTCCAGAGCCTGCTTTTGCTCCTTTTCGCTGCCCATGTCCTTGTCCTGCTCGGAATCCGCACGCTCCCTGGAGGCGCGCTTTGGTGGATGAGTGCCATAGTTGGTGCCGCCAGTCTTCTCATCTGGATCTCCACCATCGGTGGCCTGCAATGGAGCTGGCTCCGATTGTTGACGCGTAAGACTCGATCTGGCCGCCTTGTTGATCGTCGAGGTGCGTTGCGACTGGAAGTTATCCAGCTCTTTGGTGTCGCACTCACTTGCCCCTCGCTTCAGCTCTTCGATCAGCAGCTCCTCGGCATTCTCGCTCAGACTGATGTTGTTCATTGCCTCATCCAGCTTGAACTCCTGCTGCTGGGCCTCCTCGCGAAGAAAGGAGAAACCCTCGTCTATGATCCGTTGGCTCTCATCCCGGCTGATCAGGGAGGCATGACTGAGAAGCTGCAGCACTATTTTCCGCATAAACAGCGACAGGCTGTGGCACTCCGGATTCTGGGACTCAATTAAGTAGCAGGCTAGCAGCTTCCGGTTGAGAATACCCTTGGTACCGGAGTTCCCCTTCATGATGGCCTGGCAGATGGAGGTCTTGCCGGATCCGTTTGAGCCCAACACCAGGCAGCCGTTATAGCTGGAGCTGGAGATGGCCGCTGCCTTGGCCCGTGCAGAAACATAGTTGGAGGAGACGGCTCCCAGGGCTCCTGGCACAGCCTTCTTGCCCGCTGTTCTCTGCTCGAGGCACAGCGCGATCTTCTTTAGCACCCATTCGCGATGTATGTAAACTGTGCCCACGATTCGATTATTCGGCTCTAGACTTCCGCTGTTGACCAAGCCATTGACTTCCTTGTCGGGTGACACTTTGCGTTGCATTAGGGCCTCTAGATTGCCATCGGTATCCTCGATTGCCTGCGGCTTAGCCCCGCCTGCTGCCTCCTGGCCATCCTCCTCTGGTGCCGAGCCACTGCCACCATTCGTTTCCCCATTCGAGTGATGGGTCACATCCTGCGGAAAGTTCTGCTGCACCAAATTGGCAAAGTGCTCCTCGCGCGCCAGATTCGAGAAGCTGGCGTTGGGACAGTCGCGTCCGCTGATCTCTAGCTTCTTCTGCAGCTGTGTGGTGTCCTTGAGGAAGTTGAGAATGCGTCGATCCTCCAGCTGCTGGTTGGGTGTGCCGCCAGGCGGCTGATTGCTGTATTTAGAGCCACCCACCAGGGCACTGGTGGAGGCACAACCATCAACGCCATCTCCCTCGGCATCGTCCTCATCGGCATCTAGATCTGTGACCTGCACAGGATTCCCATTGCGGGCACTGGCCAGACGATTGGAGTCCCGGTAGTTGGACAACTTCGTTTCCGGATTCGTTATGGGCGCGTGTCGACTCCGTTCGCCGCTCTTGTAGCGATCGGATTTGCGCAGAGGTGTGGCATACAGCATCTCTTTGGGCATGTTGCCACCGGCAGCCGGCGTGGAGTTGCAATTGCCAATGGAGTTGGCATTGGGATTATTACCGGTCACTGCCTGCGTGGATGACTTCTGCTGCTGCATCTTGCGCACAGACTCGTTGTACATCGCCTGACAGGGCAGATTTTCGTAGATGTCATTGCGCAGATTATCGTTGTCCGTGTGCCTAGACATTGTGGCTGGCTGATGCTGCTTCAGGATGTGCGTAATCCGTTCACCGACTGACTGTCTCCTGTCTGCTGTCTGCTCCAGAGGCGGCGGGTTCGTTGGCTTTTCGCTGTGCCTGTTCAGCCTTTCACTTAAGCCGCCTTTAGCTTAGATGTCTGCAAAAGAGGGAGAGGAGACTTGGTTTTAGATATAACTTTAATGCGGCAGTTAGTCGTAAAGCTAAGAGTCATTGCCAGAGCGAATGCCAAAAAGTGTAATTAGTGGAACTACTTTGCCATTTGATAGGATAAATGATCTAATTTAATCAAACCCAACGTTTATGTATAACCAGATAAAGCTCTTCGAAATATATAAAAACACTAGCTGTACCCTGCCACGTTTCTCTGTGGCATATTGTGGTTAAGAGGGCACTTCTGAATACATCAATGTTCCGGCAAAATCATCTTCCTGGCATAAGGTGAAGAAGGCAGTCAGAGTTGTCGCTGGCGGATTCAGGACTCTTTCTTGCACATTTCTTTCTGTGAAATAGATACGTTGACCATTCTCCAAATGGACTGCCAAGTGAACTAAAGCTGGATAGCGTTCATGAATGGGGAACGAACAAATTCTCCATGCAACCTCGTTGCTGCTTATGTATCTTCCAGCCTGGTATTGAGATATTTCATCGACAACTCGTACTGCATTGCTGTCACCATTTTCTGCCTGAACACCAAAAACTGCCATATCGCTGCCTTTATTCACGTACTCGCAGATATATTTAATCGATTTCACGGAATTGCAATATTCTACGTTGATGTGCGCTTTGTATGATTTTGACAATAGTGGTGAACCACCCAACGATTGTCTACCTCAATATCACCAATTCTCATGTTTAAAGTTGCCGAAGTCCCTCCATCTTCAGTTGACCGTCTCCTATACAGAGGATATCCATCTTCCCCTGTTACGGTGTTGGCTGTAAATGCTCGAGGATATTGCTTGAAACACTTCCCGTCTACCATGCTTGGTGAACTTCGGTTGAGGGTACCACATGGGCCATGGATCATGTTCTTGATGACAACTGCATGCAAATCTGTATCAACCTCTGCCCGTGGAATCTCAGCGCATATCACATTGTCAATTTCGTCTGGAGTAATTTTATCATACAGCCAAATCAGTATGTGCGCATGCGGCAATCCTCTCTTCTGCCATTCTACTGAATACATCCAGCACCGCACAGATCCAAAAACTCCATGTTTCACAATGAAATCCATCAGTGACTTGAGCTTTTGTCTAAAAACACGGGCTGTGATGTCATGCCTATCCCTATATGATTGTCCAGGAAATAACAGCTGTACTATCTCGTCCCAAGCTGGATTGCATGTGAAGGTGATAAATAAATCTGGTCGGTCGTAGCAACGAACATATCCTATGGCATCTTGAGCATATTCATGCATGTGGCGTGGACTACCTATGTATGAGGATGGCAAAATCGTGAGCTTTCCAACGTTGGTTGTATTACGGTCATTCATCACAGCATCCCGCAAATGGATATATTCCTCGGACCGAAGTTTCTTCTGATTCAATCGGAGGAACAGCAAACGTTGTTTCAATTTTTGCATACATATCGACAATGTACTGATGAAACAACTGACGACATTTCAATATATGATTGCAATCGGTCCTCCGAACCATTAACCTGTATGAGTAAAAGTTCATCGCGCAGCCGCGTCTCTCGGATGGAGGCCCGTTCTTCGTCAGTCATATTCGTAATCTTACGTCTTTTTGCTTCTGTATTGCGAATACGACGACCCAATCTCGACTTCTTTGGTGGCATGACTTCGTTTCTTACTGAACCTGAACAAAAAATAAAATTTGTATCTCCAATTTCTTCTTTCAATATGTTTTTAATGTTTGACAGGAAATGCTTTGATTTGCTTGTAGAGGGCGCAGTAGTAGGGGCACGGGAAACGCTAAAAAAAATAGATATATTCGCAACCGCAGATAAGCTATCAACATCAAAAGTAGTCAATAACCGAGCTGGAACCTCATCGCATGTTCTCTAAAAATTTTGGCATAAACGGTTCAGAACTTTTCAAGTTTCTTCTTTCAATATGGTTTGAATGTTTGACAGGAAATGCTTTGATTCAGCTAGCTGCCTGTAGATGGCGCAGCAGTAGGGGCACTTGGAATCGCAAAAAAAATAGATATATTCGCCACCGCAGATAAGCTATCAACATCAAAAGTAGTCAATAACCGAGCTGGAACCTCAACGCATGTTGTGCCAAAATTTGGGCTTAAACGGTTCAGAACTTTTCGTGTCTATGAAGGATGTAGACACGAACAGAGCATTTTTATATATATAGATTAATACGAAATCGAAAAGCTTTAAAGGGTTTTATAGTGATTTAATGGCAGTGCTTCCTGCTCGTAATGCGCCTTCTCGTTAGTTGCATTATATCCTTGAGATAACAAAAATTACCTTTACCTCTTCCGCTCCCTATTTCAGCTTTTATGTGCCCATTACTTGAACTTAACTAGCACTTTCTTCTTCAGTCATGTTTTCCAGTGGCTTCACTTTTTTCTTCTTATTTTTTTTTTTTGTTTTTAGCATCCTGCCAACAATTGACCTGATTTCTATACATTTTTAACCCTTTGGCAGCTGGCGTGCACTCCTCCTCTATTCATTCACCTCATCCTCCACCGAATACACACCCACTCGCTGTGCACACCACACACATTACATACACCAGCGTGTATATATATGAAACTCTTGCATACTTGTCATCATTTTTCCTGCGCTCGTCTTTACGCGCAGTGTCCTTTTGTTCTCCGACTTTCGCCATATCTAAGCTTATATGCCATTTATGTGCGTCGTTGAGGAGCTCTAGGAACCCGAGCCCCCGAGGTGGTGGTAACGATGGAGGAGCAGGAGCTGGGGCATTAGATTGCAAGCCGAGCTCTGTGTAAATAATGCTTTTCATGCCACAAAGTTTTTATTTTAAACTTCAATTTACTCGTCGAGCGAGTCTCTCCGTGTGTCCCTATGTCCAGGGACCGAGGGACCGAGGGAGGTGGGTCTTTCAACGTAACTAATGATTCGTCCCAGCACGCTTGTTGTGCAACTTTCAGCTAGAAATGGAGCAAATTCAGCACGTTCTTAGTCCGCTGATGGCGAGGCCACAAAACTGGGGCCGTAAAAAAAACAAGAATCCGGGCCAAGTGAAATGAATGATTTACGCCTTTGCCCGTAAACGGGGAAAAATACATTTCGCCGGCTACGAAATGACAAGAACCGATGAGAGTGAGGACCGTTGCGATGGATTACCATAATGTTGGCAAGTCATCTGTGAAATCCATTGATTGGGCGCCTGACAGCGCCCAGGTAGCAGGAACAGGAGGAGGAACAGGAGCTGGAACAGGAGCAGGAATCCGTCAGTAAAGTCAAATGGAAATCAGTCCGGACGACAAGCGACACATCAACGTCCTGACCGCGCCGGCACGTGAGTGCTTTTTGCTTTTGGCATTGCGGCATTTTACTCGTAATTATAGGATGAATCCCGGGCTGCAGCCGCATTGTTGAACCCGGTTTGCCGCCACCGCGGGTTGCCACCTCCCATCGACCCAACGACCCAACAATCCAAAGACCACAACAATACAGCACGTACGGAGTTGCATTTGACTTTTCCACACATAAAGAAATTAACTTCAGCTTTTCTGGTTTGATTTAATATAAATAAGTAAGGATTTAACTAAATAGAACACCTGGTTTTTAGCAGAAGATAAGTTCAGCAAAAGTTGTTAGTTAGTTATTTAGTTTAGGAGACAAATTATATTTCGATACCTTTGCATCTACCAAAACCTTTTCTTTCAGTAAACTCCTAAAAATCCAGTTAAAATTGATTTTCTTTTCTTGTTGTGTGTACTTTACAGTATCGCGTAGTTGGCACGTTTTACTCGATTCTCCTCTTTTATGAAGTTAAATTGATTTGCCATTGTAAAACGAAATGGAAGTGGAAAAGCCAAAAGACTGTGATTTCTCCTGGCTGAAGGAAACAGCTTTCTGCGCTTAAAGATTTCGCAGCGTGTGTAAACAGCTCTGGAAAAGTGCTAATTATGCAAGTTTAATGGCTTTTCTCAGCCCGAGTGCGTGTAGTAGGCAATCCAGAACAAGAAGAAAATGGAAAATGGGGGCGCAGTCGTGCTAATTGCAATTTCCAGAGCATAGAGTAAGTTTTCCCTTTGCTCGCTGTTTGCCCAACTTGACAAACACACAGACCGTGTAAGTCTCGATGAATTTTTCATGGCTATTAGTAGGACTCCCCCTAGTTATTTGTAGTTTCTAAAGTTTAATTGGCATGCTCTTTAGCCAATTATGATAATTAAACGTAAAAGGAGAGTCAATCACGCATTGTAATTGGACTGAATTTTTGGGATATTGTTTAGCTCTAAGGAATACCCAATATGCAACATATGAAAGAATTTAAACAAATAGCATACAGTGATTTAATTAAATGAACAAAATATTTGTTGCTGCCAAAGTAATCACAATCACGAAGAGAGACAAAAAGACAGAGCCACATGGGGCCTGGTTCCCCAGACATCTGGAGCTTGAAATGTATCCGTATCCGGAGTATCTGGCAGCTGGGTGAACTTGAGGCAGCGTTGCGGCGTGGGAATATTTTGCTGGGCCCACAAAAACAAAAAAAAGAAAACAAAAATGCAAATGAACATTTTTTCGCCTGGAAAAACTCTGACGTTGGCCCCGCCCAAAAAAAAAAAAGAAAAGAAAAAGATTGGAGCAAAAGGAGAGGACCGGATCCACTGGCTTCCTGGGATGTAGTAATTGAAATGTTGCACCCACCGACAGGGCGTTTAATGCACTCGGCATTTACATTTACATTTGGCCCAAAGGATGCAGACAGGAAGTACTCCATTAATTTGTATTTACATTTTCAGTATCGCATTTTACTCTTTTTGCTCTCAGTTTCTTTTTGTTTTTAAAAAATTTGCTTACCACGGCACTGCTGGTGATTATTATGGGCGCTGCTCATGTTTAAATAATAACTTTTCGACTTGTCGGCTCGCTCAATTATTCAGGCAATAACTTTTCGTAAACAAAATATATTCCATGCATGGCAAACAGAAAAATAAGAGAAATAATGTGATATATGCAAAC